GAGCTGGTGGATTTTTATAAGAAAACCAATGCAAAACTTGAGATAGAGAAGGGGGATTCTCCCGTTGACCTGGCTAACTATTCCCCCCCAAATAAAATTGGTCATTCGCTTCATTCATTCCAAGACTGTATGTGGGACATTGTTGTACAAATTGGCTGCCATTTTTACCTGCAAAATACACAATTCACTACACTTCATAGTATACCCTTGAAGTGCCCTTTTTCTCTTGAGGCCATGGTAAGTGACGCCTGGGCACAGTTCCACAGACTCTTCTACGCTTCTGGTGAGAGACGCCACAGTCCCTTACATTTGCCAGCAGATGTCAGTGGTGCACCAACAGCACTGACGCAAATTGGCGGTTGGTTTAAGTATCAGTTTCATTTCCTTATATTTCGTCAATTTTACAATACAGAAACCAGCAGTTTAAGAATTTTTTTCCGAATAGATAAAAAAACAAACATTAATATTTAATTCAGCATTGTGACTGTTTACAGGGTTTTGCAATTGTCTGAAATCATCTGAACCTCCAAAAGACCAGAAATATGTTCACTTTATCCTTCGCAACATGTTTGTGAATGTGTGTGTGTCTCTCTCTCCTTTAGTTCCCTATGATTTATTGGTCCTGACCTTTAACTCTCCCTGTTCTGTTATGTGACAGTTATGTGCTATCCTGAACTTTGGAGTTACTGGAGTTACTTGGACAGTTTAATGTATTTCTATCAGCCAAACTCACTTACAGCAAGACTATCTTGACCTCTACTCCGACTTGAAAGCAGTGCTCGATCTATATCCTACTCAATAAATGGTTGTACTGGGTGAGCAATTAGACTGAGACTGGCATCAATTAATAAGCAACTAGAAAACTGAGTTGACCTTACACAAATACAGTCACTACTCCATTTACTCATGTGTTAAAGCAGCATCCATCCCCTTAAACCTATTTCTTTCTTTCTTTAATCTATGCACACACACACCACACAATAATATTAATAATCTTTGCATTTGACATAGCGCTTTTCACGTTTTCTAGACGTCTCAAAGAGCTTCACAGAATATGCTGTAAAGTGAATTGACTGTATATTTGTGGGTGAAACGCAGCAGCCAATTGCACTCAGCAGTGTCCCACAAAGAGCCGTGGATTGAAGTGACCAATTTATTATTGTTTTTTTTATTGAGAGATTATTATCAGGCGTGTGGAGTAAGGAAACTTGCCCAAGGTTTCGCCCTGCTGGGAATTGAACCCAGGTCTCTCGCTTGTGAAGCGAGTGCTCTAACGACTGAGCTACAGGACTCCACAATGGTGAAATTTTGTGATGAAAAATATCATTGCAGTAGTAACACCTGTAGGTGATATCACCAGGAGTTAAAATGACATAACTCTAACAGTTACCCCTTTAAGAGCATGTGCCCACACAGATGTTCTCCTGAATACAATACCCAAGTGGCCTTTACTTTACCTCTTCAACTTATAATAACTTCCCTTATTGATGATCAACACCTAACAGAAAGTGTTAACCACTAGTACGGTTTGAGTACATGCAGCATTATAACTATGGTTTTAATATCCGGTACATCTGAAAACATATATTCATCTTGATAAATATTTTGATGGTTCATCGACAATCATCATAGTTTTCACCAGTGTATCTTCTCCTCAAACTTTGAAGGAACAGTGTTAAATAGCCACAATAATAGTCATGGCACATCTCACTGGAAACAAATGTCCCAAAACTTCACTAAGCCTTAGCCTAGTATGTTTTCAGCGCCTTGGGACGTCCTCCTGACGTGAAATGCGCTTTATAAATGGAATCTTGTTGTTGTTGTTGTTTTGTTGGTCAGCCGGGTGTCTGACCAACAACACCACGCTTAAGAGGATTCAAACCAGACCGAGAGTTCTATGCAAGCCATCTGGACATGGAAATTTCTGTGTCTGGAATGGAATGCACACTCTCTCTCCAGAGGGATGTACACTACTTGTCTAAATCCAGAGAGTATTAAGCATTGGTCAGGAAGAGCCAAAGACCCACAGGAATTTAACCAGCTAAAGCTGAATAGCTTGCCAGTGAAAGTATTGTCTGGCAAGCTTCCCATTGCTCGTCTAGCTAGAAAACTATAATAATAATAATAATAATCCTTGCATTTGATATAGCGCTTTTCACGTCGGGAGGACGTCCCAAAGCGCTTCACAGAACCTACTGCAAAGTGAATTGACTGTATATTTGTGGGCGAACGCGGCAGCCAATTGCGCACAGCAATGTCCCACAAACAGTCGTAGATTGAAAATGACCAATTTATTATTGTTTTTGGTTTTTGAAGGGATTATTATTAGGCTCTGTGTGGAGTAAGGAAACTTGCCCAAGGTTTCGCCCTCTGCCTGGAATTGAACTCAGGTCTCTCACTTGCAAAGCGAGTGCTCTAACCACTGAGCTACAGGACTCCACTATCAGATAGGGCTTTGGTTTGTAGGGTTAACAGAGATTAGTAGGAAGAATCCCAGTGTCCAGTCCTGTCAATGAGCCCCCAGGCTGGATGGTCTGAGTACTGCAGACCCTTTTGGCTCAAGTACCAGACTATCGAGACTGCCAGAGAATGTTGACTCAATTTGTCTGCAAAAACATTTGTGTTAAAGATTCAGATTATTAAATTCAGTCTTTGTTAGGAAGCCAGTTTTCCACAGTTCTTAAAAAGAACCAGCTTCCAAATTAAGACTGGATTTTACTGAGCAATCTTATATTTTAAGACACATTTAAGATACAGGCTAAGATCACGTGGTACTATAGGCCTGAAGAGGTTTTCACATGACGTGAAAATAACCTGGTGTGTCACTGAAAGAGCTGAAAATCACCAGCTGGACTTAAAATTGCCCCAATTGAGGTGTCAAAACTCCACCTAGTTACCAGTGTGTGGTTTTATTTCTAAATGTTATGGGAAGGTGTTAGAATATTCTACTTGAAAACAAATGGGTGAAGAACAATTTACGCAAGTGGAAAGATCAAAGCAAATCTTCTAATAACACCTATGTGAAATTCATAGCATGATGCAGTAATGAACTATATAGATCAGGGAAGTCTAAGATCTAGTCCCTGCTCTGTGCTGACTTTAGTGATAATAATAATAATAATAATCCTTGCATTTGATATAACGCTTTTCACGTCGGGAGGACGTCCCAAAGCGCTTCACAGAACACTGTAAAGTGAATTGACTGTATATTTGTGGGCGAACGCGGCAGCCAATTGCGCACAGCAATGTCCCACAAACAGTCGTAGATTGAAAATGACCAATTTATTATTGTTTTTGGTTTTGGAGGGATTATTATTAGTAGGGGTGCGCTAGTAGTGATCTCAGGAGGGGCGCTACAATTGGCTTCCTATAACTTGCAGTCCTGAACTCTTAAGGCAGAGGCATCTGGATATTGGGAGAGGCATCATCTTCAGGCTGAGCTTTTTATGTCTTCCACCCACATACTGGTGACACTCACTGTCTTGGGTCACAGGTGCAAAGTGGCCACTCAAACAGGAGTCCTGTACCTCAGTGGTTAGAGCACTCGCTTTGCAAGCGAGAGACCTGAGTTCAATTCCAGGCAGAGGGCGAAACCTTGGGCAAGTTTCCTTACTCCACACAGAGCCTAATAATAATCCCTCCAAAATCAAAAACAATAATAAATTGGTCATTTTCAATGTACGACTGTTTGTGGGACACTGTTGTGTGCAATTGGCTGCCGCGTTCGCCCACAAATATACAGTCAATTCACTTTACAGTGTGTTCTGTGAAGCGCTTTGGGACGTCCTCCCGACGTGAAAAGCGCTATACCAAATGCAAGGATTATTATTATCAGCAGAATCCAACGTGTGAATATTTCTTTCGTTTCGCTTCTAAAAAAGCTCCTTTGATCTCTCGTTTGCATTTGTCGCAAATTTGCCCACGACTTGGGTCACAGCACACACACACATACACACACACAGAGTGAGCGGAGTGGAGTGAGGGAAAGGAGAGAGTGAGTAGAGTGGAGTGAGGGAAAGAGAGAGTGAGTGGAGTGAGGGAAAGAGAGAGAGAGAGAGAGTGAGTGGAGTGAGGGAAAGAGAGAGAGAGAGAGTGAGTGGAGTGAGGGAGAGAGAGAGAGAGTGGAGTGGAGTGAGGGAAAGAGAGAGAGAGAGTGGAGTGGAGTGAGGGAAAGAGAGAGAGAGAGTGGAGTGGAGTGAGGGAAAGAGAGAGAGAGTGGAGTGGAGTGAGGGAAAGAGAGAGAGAGAGAGAGTGGAGTGAGGGAAAGAGAGAGAGAGTGGAGTGAGGGAAAGAGAGAGAGAGAGAGAGTGGAGTGAGGGAAAGAGAGAGAGAGTGAGAGTGGAGTGAGGGAAAGAGAGTGAGTGAGTGAGTGAAGAGGTGGAGAAAGTTGCATCCATTCCATCCAACGTGTCGTTGCATCAGTCAACGCAGCCCTTGTGAGGAGGAGGAGGAGGAGTGGGGGGGAGGGAGGGAGGGAGGAGGAGTGGGGGGGGGAGGGAGGGAGGAGGAGTGGGGGGGAGGGAGGGAGGGAGGGAGGAGGAGTGGGGGGGAGGGAGGGAGGGAGGAGGAGGAGTGGGGGGGGAGGGAGGGAGGGAGGGAGGAGGAGTGGGGGGGAGGGAGGGAGGGAGGAGGAGTGGGGGGGAGGGAGGGAGGGAGGGAGGGGAGGAGGAGTGGGGGGGAGGGAGGGAGGGAGGGGAGGGAGGAGGAGTGGGGGGGAGGGAGGGAGGGAGGGAGGAGGAGTGGGGGGGAGGGAGGGAGGGAGGGGGGAGGGAGGGAGGAGGAGTGGGGGGGAGGGAGGGAGGGAGGGGAGGGAGGGGAGGAGGAGTGGGGGAGGAGGGAGGGAGGGAGGGAGGAGGAGTGGGGGGGAGGGAGGGAGGGAGGGAGGAGGAGTGGGGGGGAGGGAGGGAGGGAGGGAGGAGGAGTGGGGGGGAGGGAGGGAGGGAGGGAGGAGGAGTGGGGGGGAGGAGGGAGGGAGGGAGGGAGGGAGGAGGAGTGGGGGGGAGGGAGGGAGGGAGGAGGAGTGGGGGCTCTGCTCGCTCACGTACGTCGAGTGATGCGAGTGAGCGAGTGAGTGAGTGAGTGACAGAGCATCGCCCACAGTGTCTCTCAGACTCTTATCAGCTCCGACTCCGAGTCTGGAGGCAGCGGAAATGTGGCCAACGCAGCTCGGGGTGTGCGCGGGGCGATACAGGGCAGCGTCACCGGCTGATGAGCCGAGGAAAAGCCATCTCGACCAACAGCACTCATGTGAGTGACAGACTCACACCGCACAGTCACTCCACTGCCACTGCCACTCACTCCACTCACTCACTCACTCACTCACTCCCACCACCACCACCGCTTGTGTCAGCGCCGCAGAGACCATCCACAACACGCGCACAACTCTGCAAAAAAAAAACCCCTCGAGCACCTGATAAGGTAAGTCCCACATTGCAGACTCTGCAACTGTGTCTATGTACTTAGAGATCTATTAGAGATATACAGATCTCTCTCTCTCTCTCTCTCTCTATGTCTCTCTCTCTCTCTATATATATATATTTATGTCGCTGTTTCGTTTCACTTTAGTTTAGAATTGGGTATTTCACACACATGTCACCAAGTGTCGACTGTTCCAGAGTTAAATGTTTCTCAGTCAGTTAAGGTAGACAGGTCTTACTGACTGACTGACTGACTGAGCTGCTTGTAGACACATGGTGGTGGGGTGGGGGTGGGGGGGGGATAAAATTTGTGGGTGCAAACTGGACAGATGTTGCTCTGCCAGAGGTAAAACGTGAACATATTCAATTACCCTTTTTGTTTCTGTTGGGGGGCAAAAAAAAAAGTCACATTTAGTTTAGATTTCCACTGACTAAACGTAGTTATGGAATGTATGTGATTACGGGCAGTGGTTTACTCAAGTCTCTTGTCTATCTATCTCTGTGCGTCTCTCTCTCTCTCTTTCTCTGATCGTTATACCTTCAAGAAAATTCGCATCGCATTTTCAATATCTGTGAACAACCCTCAACTGCTGCTTTGTTTTTGATCACATTAAATACAGCGGTGCAAAGGAAGAAGATCAGGACTTAGCGAATTTTTTTCTCGCTGTTTAGAAATCGATAAGTGGAAAGAAAGTGAAGCCTAAAAAAAAATTAGATTTCTTCTGAATTCTTTACCGATTCCCTTGTGTGACATGCATTTGTCAGAGGGAAATCCCTCAGGTCACGACTCAGTCTAACTGATGTGATGACTCAAGCAAGTTAACTTTCTGTTTGCTTGGCTGTTATAGCGGTAAATCGTGCGGTGGGCACAGAAGACACAGTAGGATTGATTAAAAAAAAGCAGCGGCCTTGTTTTTTGAAGGAAAAAAAACTTATCAGTCGATTGAAATGTATTATGGAAATAATGTATGTAAGCACCTTAACTTTCCAGTGAGTGTGACAGTGTACCGCTGGAGATTAACCAACTTAAAACAAAAAAACACCCAGTTTATTATCACGGATGCTGTACTTGCATGCTTCTGGTTGCTTGTCCAGCTAGACTACCCTATTAGGGAATATGTTCAGTAGGTGTTCCAAAAAAAAGGAGTCTAAATGTGTTCAGGAGAGGAAGAAAAAAGAGAAAATTGACAAGGAAAAGAATTGTAGGAATATTAATTATATTCATATTAAAACATATGAAGTTTGTGTTAATAGGAGCCCTGGTGCACTGATACCTTCTGATGTGATCAGATATTGGAATCACAGTCGGTAGCACTCTTATTTCTGGGGTGGATACTCCACAGGGGAACCTGAGCTCAGTCAGGAATGCCACTACGTGGTGGAGAACTGTATTGTTGGTGGCTCATCCTTCAGATGAGCTGTTCAGGTGGATGCTAAAGATTCCACAATACAACAACAACAACAAGATTCCATTTATTGAGCGCCTTTCACGTCAGGAGGACGTCCCAAGGTGCTGTACAGTTCGGTCAGGACCCGAGCAAGGGGGAAATGGTCAGGATGAGGGGAGGGAAGGGAGGGAGCGAGGAGGGGGTAGAGAGTCGAGAGGGGAGCTGAAGGCTCGGTCAAAGAGAAAGGTCTTGAGACCGGCCTTGAAGGAGGAAAGGGAGGAGGCGGCGAAGGCACTGGGGATAGAGTTCCAGAGCCTCGGGGCTGAGAGGCTGAAGGCCCGGCCACCGATGGTAGGGCGGTTGGGGCGGGGGATGTAGAGCAGACCGGAGCCAGAGGAACGGAGGGTACGGGCAGGTAGGTAGGGGGATAGTAGGTCGGAGAGGTAGGAGGGATCAAGGCCGTGAATGGCCTTGTAGGTGAGGACGAGAATGAGGATCTTGAATTCGAAAGGAGAAGGGAGTTTGCCTTGGTCGAAAATCCTCCTAGTTGATTCGTTTTCAAACAAAAACAGTACTGTGAAAGTTTAAAGGCACTCTGAAAATGCAAGTTCCTTTTGTAAGTGGGTGTACTTTCGTGATTAAATGTTTATCTAGACTTGTATTTTCCACTGTGGGGTTGAAACCATAGTGAACTATTTTCCTTTCAGTAGCTAACACTTAACACTTAAAAGTACTTTGTGCACATAATTTTATAGGCTATAGATGCCAATTTCTTAAAAGAAGTCACAATTTGGATCACTGAGTTTTGTTTCAATGTGATGCTTATTAGCCCTGGAACTCAACAAGAGTACAGAAGACAATTTTGTTGCAATTGGTACCATGAATCCCTATGGAGAAAGATTTGTCAGATGATGCTCATCAGGTCTTTTTAAGATGGTCTCAGTTTGTACAATTTGGTGAAGTCATTGTATGTCAGCCTAGTTCAGTTTGGTAGCATCCTCTCTCTGAATCACAAGGTTGTGGGTTCAAGCCCCAAGTCGACACTTTGACTTTATAGTCTCCAGGCTAATAGTCCTGTGCAATCCTGGGAGAATCCTGCATTTTCGGAAGTACAGACATATTTAGGTTTAGTATTTAGTTAAACCAAAGTCCCTTTTGCCTATTTCCATTTATCTGGATGTTAAAGATAACATCCCATCCCATGTCTGTTGAGTTTTGCCGACTCAATGGCTGCTTGTGGGACATTGCTGATGGCACATTTGCTGCTGTGCTTGTCTACAAACATTGATGCAGTAAATAGTTATTTTCAGTTGCTTGTTTTACAACAGGATATGACCCGTTCATTGGTTTTGCGCTACATAGAACAAGTACAGGGTCACAACACTTCACAGTAAAATCCTGTGACGGCTTTGAGATACATTGATGACCTGATAAGGTGCTTTATCAAATGCAAAGATAATTATAATTGCACACAAAAATTGTGGTTAGAAAAGAGACTGTACAAGCTTGCTATCCACATAATGTAAAATTACTGTCCACATAAATATGAATTTTGATGTCACATAATATATATTTGGATGTCTAACAATGTTTGTGAAAGTGATTACTGACAAAGGGCACATATGTACATGTGTGCCAAGTGACGTGTGAATGTGAGATCGCTTTGTGAACAAACTAGCTTGCTAGCCAATGGAGCTCAATTTGAAAACGTATTGATTTTCTCTGCACATCAGTATCTTTCCTCTCCCTTTACGTTCACTCCTCCCTTCCACCCTCTACCTGAGCCCATTCCTGTTCTCACATGCATTCTTTACAACAACAACAACAGCTTGCATTTATATATTGCTCTTCAAGAAGGACGGTGCCTCAGAGTACTTAACAGCAAGGGGTCTCTGAATAACAATCACAAGAAATATTTCCTGCTTCTTAACTCATTGGGGCTGAGGCGAGTTGTAATTCTAATTCACGTACCTGCTGTGATCAGCTAACTCAGCACAGACTCAAAGGGATTCCAACCTGCAGCCTTTTGCTCTGCGTGGTGTAGTGCTGCCTTTACTCTCGAGATGTTGAAAGAATTTTAAATGACGCTGCATAACACTTAATTTGTTCTTACTTCCCACCCAGTTAATTTTAATGTCTCGTGTTTTGCCGACTCTTTGGCAGAATGTCCCAGTGGCATCAACTGCATCAGCTGGACTCCCAGTTCCTGGAACAAGTGGACCAGATGTACGATGACACTTTTCCCATGGAAGTCCGACAGTTCCTAGCACATTGGTTGGAAAACCAAGACTGGTGAGGACCCAGTTATTTTCTTTTTAAGTTTGGATTAACAAATCATTTTGTTATAAATAATGCCTTTTATGCGGAAAAGGTTTCCACTTGTAAGAAATGATCTTTGTTATTGGCAGCTGCAGAAACAGTATCATGGGAATGGGAATTGATTTCTTTTACACAGGCAAACAGAAAACAAGCTTCATTATATAAATATAGCAGAGTGACAGTCACAAGTTTATTTGGACTCCTAAAGAAGTCACATCAATACTGTTATGATGTGATTTTGGTTGGTAGTTCCCTAACAGATGTAAACATTATGAAAATATAAAGTAACATTGATGTTTAATATTCAGAACCATAATATCAGAAATAATGAAGTGGAGCCAAGTAAAAAAAGGATAACAGCTTTTCTTTCTGTTTTGCTTTGATTCTAACCACATTGTCATATTATATAGTAATGGAAATACGTTTCCAATGTCGTTCTGGAACATAGCTACAAAGACCGTTTCACTGTTTGTTGTCAGAGGTGAAGCTGACACTGAGAACATGCAACAGAGGTGCAAAAAATCAGTGAAATGACTGTAGACAAATGTCAAAGTAAAAGGTTATTTCAGGTCAAGAACATGTGTAAAAATAAAATTAATAGCGCACTGATTACTATAATGTATCCTGCTGTCAATGCAGTTTTCATGTTTCGGCTTCTTCTTTATTTAAAGGATTCCTTTAAGCTGAAAAATGAACAATGTTGCAAAGTTTCTGCATTAGTTGCCCTCGGAATAATTACCAGGTTAGTTTATGGAAGGAGAAAAGCTAGCTGGAGGGAAGCGAGGGTTTTGTCACACCGCGGGAGGTTGTCTCCTTGTAGATCAGGCAAAGAATAGCATTGATGCCCTCAACGGAGTTGTTCACTCTACTTTGTGGTGTCCTTTTAGATTAACATGTCTGCAATGATCTAAGAAATTGATGCACTAGGTGTGATGTGCTGAATGGCCTTCTCTTATTCCTGTGTTCCTAGATCCTAATAACTGGCGAGAGTTGGGCTGCCAGAAACCTGGAAGCAGGCCGCTAGTCAGGGAACAACGAACCTGCAGACTGGGAAAGGAAGAAAATAGCTTATGAAAAGAAATAGAATTAGACCTGCTGGGTGTTTAAAGAAAGCTTTGTCAGGCAGTGTAATGTATGGAGCAGAAGGCACCTACGATTTTGAACAAGTCTTACAGAAGTCTGTTTCTTTTCAACCGTTGCAGAATTTTCCACCATGGAACAAATGTAGAACCTTCTTCGTTGGTGATTTGACATTTTGAGAGACTCCTTTCGGATAGAGATCGGATACTTTGTGACTCATTTTTCATTGATTGTTTTCAACAGGGAACTTGCGTCAAGGAATGAATCTTTGGCCACACTTCTGTTTCATAATTTATTAAAACAAATAGACGACCAGTACAGCCGCTTCTCTATTGAAAAAAACTTCTTACTTCAGCACAATCTGAAAAGAATTAAACAAAACCTTCAGGTAATGTTCAATAACATTTTTTCACTTCACTTTTGTGTGTGTCCTAATATAATATTTGTACAGATCACCTAGACTGAGGTTTCTTTCTGGGCGAGAAACCACCAGGTTGCCAGGTTGCTAATAATTTGCTATTCCTATACCTGGAGTCCTGTAGCTCAGTAGTTAGAGCACTCGCCTTACAAGCGAAAGACCTGGGTTTGATTCCCGGCAGGGCGAAACATTGGGCAAGTTTCCTTACTCCACACACCTCTGTTTACCTTGCAGCAAGTAGGAACCCGATTGTTAGTTAACTGGAGATCACTTTTCCAGGGGTAATAATTTTTAAAAAATCAAGTCAGCAGGAAGTCCCAAGGGACTGGACAGTCAGGATTTGCACCTGTACTGGGGATTGACGTAAGGGCAGAGAGAGTGGGGTTAGGCTGGTGGGGATAGGAGGATGCGGGTAGGAGGGTGACTGAAGGAGCGGTCAAGAGGAGGGTCTTGAGATGGCCCTTGAAGGAGGCAAGGGAGAGGGCGAGGTGAAGGGGCTGTGGGATGGAGTTCCAAAGGGTACGGGTCAGAAAGGCTGAAGGCCCAACCCCTGATGGTGAGGCGGGCAGGACTGGGCCATGGAGCAGGCCATAGTCTGCTGAGCGGAGGGAGCGGACAGGTTAGTATGGACATTTTTCCTCCCAAGTCTGTCACTTAGCTTGTGAATTAAAAAGGTCTGACTATTACAATCCCATGCTAAAGATTACCAGCCTCGAAAGTAACCTTCTCCATGAAGAATTTGTAACAAATCAAATGTTATATAATAAGAGTGAGAGAGGAAGAAAATAACTTATGAAATGATACATCAACAACAGAATATCAATGCTCAATGCAGTAAAAATGTCACACATGAAAACAAACAAAAGGTTCAATAATCCTGCAATTCCACATTATCGTTCCACAAAATAAACATCACCATTAACTCTGGTACCTAAGTGCAAATAGTCTTTTTGAGATTATCTACATTTCCCCAAGAAACGGGTCAAACGAGTTATCTTTAGAATTTTTTTTACTGAATAATATTTTCTGCGCATTTGGTTTTCTTATAAACCATTCATTGACATTAGATTAGATTTGTTAGCGTAATAAACCCTTCGGGAATGGAAAGTATTTGAATGTGCTGAGCGATGAATAGCATCCTGTTCAGCTCTACTATGGAAAGTAAGAATCAGGGACAGAGGAAACTGCATTGTTCAATGTATGACACTTCAACCTCTTTTCTTGAAGAGCCTAATGAATGCACCGCATAGTGTTGCTCAGATTGTATCTCAGGAAAGGTACAGAAACAATGGTAAGTGCTGAATGTGGTAATTTGTAGGCATTCGAAGTACAGACCACTAAAATGCTACACTAGTTGCTGCTACTTGTGCTATAGGTAACCACTCTAATCTCTCCTTCTGGTCACTCAGAAATGCTAAGAGAATAGAATAAACCTAGACCCACATACATACCTGATTTGTGTGTAGAGGTAATCACAGGTCCAGTAAATGTGCCAAAGTATCATTGAAAAATGGTACTTTACAGAACAGAAATAAGGTGAATGCTAGTACCAGTGCAATCTCAGTGATCTTTAAATCAATCCTTGCATTTGATATAATCACTCGGTCAAGATGTCTCAAAGTGCTTCACTGGATATATTGTAAAGTAGTGTGATTGTGTATTTGCTGGGCAAAATGTGGCAGTCAGTTGAGTACAGCAACATCCCGCAAACAACCATGGAGTGAGTCACCCATTTTATTTAGGGTATTGCTGGCCATAACACCAGGCGAAACTCCCTTCTCAGACCCAGAAATGCCAGTTCAGCTTTTTGTCAATTAAAGTGTTTGTCTCAGTTAACTACATCCCCTCCCGTTCCCTGCAAAACAACCCACTCACCTCTTCCTGTGCATCACTAAGTTTGAATAGAACATGAGTGGTACAGGAAAGAGCTGCACTTGTGGCAGGTTAGCGGAAAAGGAGAGGCACATCAGGTTAGAACTGTGGTTTACTGCTGCATAGCTCCATTTGTGAATGGTCAGCAGGGAAAGTAAAATGATGGCGAAAGGTAAAATGATATGATCGATGAGCGAAAGAAATGCAATTGCTGTATTGCGAGCAGCGAACAGAAAGGAGAAGAATGGTGAAGGAATAAGCAGCCAGCACTGCCCCACCGAGCGCCAGCACAGGAATTTCCACCACAGTGAATCCTTTATCTCAGCCGTGATACTGGGGACACTGGGGCTGAGTGAAAATCAAGTGATTCCCTACAGAAAGAGTGAGAAATTCGAGCGAGTGTGTGATGTCCCAAGTGAAACATTGTGATGTCACCTTTCCACACATATAATACAATCGTGTTAAATAGCTAACGAAAAATAACATTAGTCAAATCAGAATAAAACAAAATTCCAAATGAAATCAGACGTACACACTTTGTAAAATCAGGAAAGAGTTAGGGGAAAAACCCAAAGCATTCACTCTACCCACACGTACCGTTACTTGATCAACCTTCACTTTAAACTCAAACCTCTGTGATATACCAGGATTTTTCAAAACCAGGCTATATTTAAAGTTTCACTGCAGCAAATCTTGCCAGTATTAGCTTTTTTTTAATGGATCCGCAATTTAGTTTTGCAGACAAGAAATTTGTGTAGGTGTGAACTTTGCCTGTCAGTACGTTCTGCAGCACAACCCACCCACTCATGGGCCAAATGTAGTATTCAGTAATTTCCAGTGTATTTGGAAATCCTTCTGAAAAAATTCCGTGGTTTAGGTGCTAGACATGAATATGCTGGTGTCTAATTTGCGATGGATTTCTAAACACAGAGTGCTCCTGTAACCATGTGTCTCGGACACTGATCTTGGCTGGTCCTTTCCACAGCAGCAGTGTGGCCATTTGCAGCCAAGAATATCATACTGATAATAATAATCCTTGTATTTGATAAATGCCTTATCACGATGTTGAGACGTCACAAAGCGCTTCACAGGAAATACTGTAAATTAAGACTGTGTATTTTGTGGGTGAGGCGCTGCAGTCAGTTGCGTACATAAATGTCCCACAAACAGCCATGGAATGAGTCACCAATTTTATTTAGGGGATTGTTGGCCAGGACACCAGGCAATACTTACCAGTGCCATGGTAGATTTAACAGGCAGACGAGACCTCGGTTTAACGCCTTATCTACAGGACAGTTTATCTATGAGGTTTTCCTAGTTTGGTCTCCATTCCTTCCCCTGAACTGGAAAGACTGCATGATAAGAATGTTTAAGAAGGGGGAAAGAGAGATGAATGTCCCCCTCCCCCTCTCAGCTAGAGAAAAGGCAGCAAGGGTGCAAAAAAAAACTGTTGTCTGCAAGCCATACTTATGAACAATTTGTAAATGGGTAGCCTTCGCCTTGCTTTGCAGGTACAGTACCTGGGGAACCCTTTGCACATGGCATCAGTTATCGCTGCCTGCTTGAGGGAAGAGCAGAGGATTCTGGCAGCAGTGAACACACCGGAGCAGGTATGCAATGCTTCTTCATAGTTTACGTTTCTCGTGAAGCACTTCAACAACAACAACAACAAGATTCCATTTATTGAGCGCCTTTCACATCGGGAGGACGTCCCAAGGCGCTGTACAGTTGGGTCAGGACCCGAGCAGGGGGGAAATGGTCAGGGGGAGGGGAGGGAAGGGAGGGAGCGAGGAGGGGGTAGAGAGTCGAGAGGGGAGCTGAAGGCACGGTCAAAGAGAAAGGTCTTGAGACCGGCCTTGAAGGAGGAAAGGGAGGAGGCGGCGAAGGCACTGGGGATAGAGTTCCAGAGCCTGGGGCTGAGAGGCTGAAGGCCCGGCCACCGATGGTAGGGCGGTTGGGGCGGGGGATGTGGAGCAGATCGGAGCCAGAGGAACGGAGGGTACGGGCAGGTAGGTAGGGGGATAGTAGGTCGGAGAGGTAGGAGGGAGCGAGGCCGTGAATGGCCTTGTAGGTGAGGGTGAGGATCTTGAATTCGATCCTCTGGGGGATGGGGAGCCAGTGGAGGCGAGCGAGGGTGGGAGTGATGTGGTCCCGAAGCCTGGTGCGGGACAGTACACGAGCTGCAGAGTTCTGAATGACCTGCAGGTTGTGGAGGGAGGTGCCGGGAAGGTCGGCGAGGAGAGAGTTCCCATAGTCCAGCCTTGAAGTGATAAAGGCGTGGACCAGAGTTTCAGCAGCGTGAGGGGTGAGGTAGTGCCCTAGTAGGGCGACATTCCGGAGGTGATGGAAGGCGGTGGTAGTTGTGGCGCAGATATGAGGGAGAAAGGACAGCTCAGGGTCGAATAGAACCCCGAGGTTCCTGACTGGCTTTGAGAGGTGGAGAGTGCAGCCTTGGATGCTGATGTTGTCAGCGCCTGAGGTGCGGAGGCGCTGACGTGAGCCAATCAGGAGGGCCTCAGTTTTGCGCACGTTGAGCTGAAGAAAGTTATCTCTCGTCCAGGACTCGATGTCGGACAGGCAGCTGTCAGGACATCGGTGGTCGTGGAGTTGAGGGTAGAGGAGGAAAGGTAGAGTTGGGTGTCATCCGCATACATGTGGAAGTTAACCCCATGTCTGCGGATGATGTCACCAAGGGGGAGCATATAGAGGGTGAAGAGGAGGGGACCAAGGACAGAGCCTTGAGGGACACCACACGAGACAGTGTGGGGGGTGGAGGAAAAACCATTTGTGGAGACAAAGTGAAGATGGTGGGAGAGGTACGACCTAAACCACTCAAGGACAGGGCCTTGAAGGTTTAGGTGGGAGGACAAGCGGTGGAGGAGGATAGCATGGTCGACCGTATCGAATGCTGCCGATAGGTCGAGGAGGACGAGGAGGCAGAGGGAGCCCTGGTCACAGATGGTCAGGATGTCATTGGTGACCTTGACCAGGGCAGTTTCTGTGCTATGGGCAGCACGGAAACCCGACTGAAGGGGTTCGAATAGTGAATGGTTGGAGAGGAAAGAGCGCAGCTGGGAGGCGACAACTCCTTCCAGGACCTTGGATAGGAAGGGGAGGTTGGAGATGGGCCGGTAGCTTGATAGCTGCGACGCATCAAGGGAGGGTTTTTTAAGGTGGGAGTGATGGTGGCAGTTTTTAAGGGAATGGGAATAGAGCCAGAGGAGAGGGACAGGTTGACGATGTCTGTGATATGTGGGGCAAGGAGGTGGAGCTGGGAGATAAGGAGTGGAGTGGGGATGGGGTCAAGGGAGCAGGTGGTAGGTTTCAGGGAGAGGATGAGTTTGGTGACAGAGGATGGGGAAACGGGTACGAAGGTGTGTAGGGGAGGATGGGTAGGAGTCGGAGTGTGGGAGGGAAGGGGTGGGTGGTGGGTGGATGTTGGAGGGGAAGTGACCGCGGAGCGGATTCCCTTGATCTTGGATTCAAGGAAATCCAGCATCTCCTCGCAGTGAAGGTTGGAGGAGATGACCTGCGCGGGGTGGTGGGGGGGACGGAGGAGTTGGGATGTGGTAGAGAACAGTAGCCTGGGGTTGTCCTTCGCCTCCAGGATTATCCTGGAGTAGAAGGACGATTTGGCCGAGGCTAGAGTGGAGCGGTAGATTTTGAGGAGGTCCAGCCAGATTTGTCGGTGGACCGTTAGGCCAGATTTGACCCAGGTGCGTTCAGCGGCCCGCACCTGGCTCTTCAGTGAGCGGAGGTGGGTGGTGAACCAGGGGGAGGAGCGAGAGTAGGAGACAGTACGGGAGGTGATGGGGCAAGAGTGTCAAGTGTGGAGGAGAGGGTGTTGTGGAGGAGGGTGAGAGCAGAAGAGGGGTCGGTGAGGGTTGAAGGCCAGAGGGAGAGGAGTTCAGAGGACTCCAAGGCAGCGGTTAGGGATTGAGGGGGTAACTTCTTCCAGGGCGGTAGAAGATGGTGGTGGGTCTGGTGGAGGTGGGGAGGGGGGTGGAGGTGGTGAAGGAGATGAAGTGGTGGTCGGAGATGGCCTTGTCGGTGATGGTGACATCCGAGACACTGAGGCCCCGGGTGATCACCAAGTCGAGTGGGTGGCCGTGACTGTGAGTGGGGGAGTTGATGTGGAGGGAGAGGTTGAGCGAGGAGAGCAGGGAAGAGAAATCTGAGGAGATTGAGCAGGAGGGGGTGAAGTGCAGGTTAAAGTCGCCCAGGATGATGAGGCGATCAGAGCAGAGGCAGAGAGATGTGAGAAGTGTTGAGATATCAGAGATAAAGGTGGGAGAGGTTTTAGGGGCCGGTAGAGGAGGAGGATTTTAAGTGAGAGGAAGGAGGGGTGGGAGAGGGTGAGGTGCTCAAAAGGGGAAAGAGCCAGAGGAGTAGGGGGATAGGGCAAGTGGTGTCCTTGAGATAAGGGCAACACCACCGCCACGGCGGTTGGGGCGAGGGATGTGGTGGGAGGTGTAGCCGGGTGGTGTGACCTCCGTGAAGGGGAAGGTGTCGCCTGGGGTGAGCCAGGTTTCCGTTAAGGCCATGATATCAACGTTCTCATCAAGGATGAGATCGTTGATGACCAGGGCCTTGTTACAGAGGGAGCGGACATTTTGTAGTCCGATGTGGATGGAGCGGTTGACAGAAGGGTGTGTGGGAGGGAGGGGGGTCCCGGTTGTGAGGCAGGGGTGGGGGAATGGGGATGAGGGAGGAGAGGTTGACTCCCCGGGTCTGTGTCCGGGGTGGCTGGCGAGTGTGGTGGGGAATGGGGCAGTCGGTGTGGCTGCTGCTGGACAGCCAACGCCGAGTGCCACGGTGAGCCCGGCGGAGGATTCCCAGGCTGGAACAGAGGGAGGTTGTGGGAGGGTCAAGTGGGGATAGAAGGCGAGAGGGACGGAGAGAGAGGAGGAGAGAGCGGGAGAGATGCAGAGGGGGGAGGGTTTGGGGGTAGAGAGGAGGGAGGAGGGAGGGAGGGGGTCAGGGGCTCGGGTCATAGCGGCAGCCATATTGCGCACGCGGGGACCGGGAGCGAGCGGTCAGGTGGATGGACACATTATCCCATGTGCTGGGGCTGGGGCAGCCAACCTAACAGGACCATGGTGGGCTCTGAGCCCTGGGGGCGGGGGGCGCAGAGGATTTTTTGTTTTGTTTTGTTCTCTGTTATCTACAAATGGAATGTGCTTGTTTGCTCACGTAACCACCGACCTGTTACCATGAATAACACAGGAAGTTCTGAAAATTTTGCTTGTTCAAGGCAGCACCAACACTTTATTTTCTGGCTTTAAAAATAATCTGGTAATCTTTGCCCCCTTCCCCTCCTGAAGGCTTTGACACTGGGGATTCAAATCAATTAACAATGGCAACAACAAATTACACTTGTATCACATAAACTTGTATAAACAGGAATTAAGAGTCCTGTTGAGAAATATTGCAAATTAGACCCCTTTAAATCTCACCTCTTAATCTATCTTTGGTCTGTAATTATACATAATGTGTATTAGGGGGACGAGGAAAAAATCATGCAGAACTCAATGATTTCGGAAAGACAGAGAGAACTGGAACAGAGAATGACAGCCATGAAATCCAATGTACAGGTATGCTAACTCATTGTAAACCAAACATTGCAACCTAAGCATCAATTTAAATTTAACACAGCATGTTTGAAGACCTGTCACTTAGAGATATTATTCTGACATTTCTGTAAGCATCCTGCTTTATATATTTACCTTCATTACATTTACCTTCATTGCCTTCCTCTCTACTCTTCTCCCTATTATCTAATAGCTGCTAGTGGAATCAGCAATATATTATCTTGACAATAATAAAGAGATGAATAAAATAAATTATATTTAGTCTATCCTCAACCATTCAAAGTACAGTGTTTAAGATGGGAATGATAGTATAGTTATTGATATAAGTATTGTAGAGTATACATTAGCAAAAGCCTAAGAACCAGCCAATTCCAAGATAGAGGATTGATGCACAACATGAAAATATCTCAGAAACAAGAAAGGGTGAATTATAGAGCGCAACATGGCAATAATAAATCAAATCTAAGCAACGTGAAGTAAAGTTTAGTGCAAGTTAAATCTTTGTGTATATTTCCAATGAACTGAACATCACTGTGCGTCAAAACTCATTTTTGTTCACACTATCTTTTGAATCTACCACAAAATCTTATCAAATCTCCCTCTACTGCATCTCTTGCTTGGTGAAAAGGTGGTCGAACAGGATGTAAAGTTCCTCGAGGACCTGCAGGATGAATTTGATTTCAGATACAAGACACTACAGACACAAGGTAATGTCTACAATCTGCAGGCTAATTTTTTTTAAAAAAAGAAATTTTTGTGTTCAATTATTTTTGTAAATGTATCTCCCGATTTGCATATCGCCTCTGTTCCTGGTCTGGTCTGCTCTTGCTGGAGTCCAGTAAACCACCCAAATGTTGTGACCCTCCAGTAAACCACCCAAATGGCCTTTGTTCATGTGTGAGCTTTGGCAGTGAGAGTCAACAGTGAGAGCTTCTCCTAACCCAGCTGCCACACAGACACGTTACCAGTTGAGGGCCTAGATGCAGGAACCCTGACTGCTTTTAGCCTCCCTCATCCCGCAAAGGCCAGGATTAATTTATCCTCCCCATCCAACGCCAGTCAAAACCAACAAATCAAAGAAAATGGTATCAGTGTTTGAACCAGCAAACTAGAGTCTGTAAGATGTTGCTTTTTCCACTGCACCATCAGGGTAGCCATGCAGTTTGGGTTACCACTTGTGCAGCCTTGTGCTAGACATTTTGCTAAATTTGACAAAGAATTTGTTTTTCATTAGAATTTAACGCTATGCGTCGTTCTCTGATTGCAGAACACTGTGATAGGAACAGTATTCATGTGAAGGAGGAAGTTTTCCGGTTACAAGGAATGCTTAACCAACTGGATCATAAAAGAAAGGTAGAGTTTCAACTGAACTACGTAAATACAGGCACAATTTCGGTTATTTTCCCCGAATATCCATTTCCGTGTTTTTGAAATTTAGAGCTAAAAACATATTGGGGTAGAAATTCCATCTGGGTCTACATTGATTCTATTTTCTTCGTATCTTACAGTGTGCAGAATTTGTTAACTATGAAGCTAGTTTGTGGTTCATAAAACAGTAAATCTAGACCCAAGTGATATTTCTCCTCCATTGCAATTACATCTGACTTCACTCGTTGCTGGTATTTCAGTGATAAAATTACAAAAGACACTCAAACATATGAGCTGGAAAGCGGGATTCAGAATAGGGGTGACTTGAAAGAAAGCAGAGGTAGCAGTGACTTAGACAGTGGTCTGAATGGCTTTCCTTGTGCTGAAAAATGCTACTTTTCTACATGAACTAAATGTAGGCACCATTTATTGCTGCATTTTCTGTATTATGTATGAATAACTTTCTAAAGTTTGTGTGTGTGTGTGTATGGGTTGGGAGAATGGGTTAATGGAGTAGTGAGAGCAGCTCTGAAAATTTTGAATCACGTAATAATAATAATAATAATAATCCTTGCATTTGATATAGCGCCTTATCACATCTTCAAGACATCTCAAAGCGCTTCACAGATTAGACTGTAAAGCAAATTAACTGTATATTTTGTGGGCGAAATGACCATATTGACTTTGTCATGTAAGTTTGGTAATCGCATTTTTTTTAATCACATTTGCGAGTGGGATGTTGCTCATCGTGCCTCTGTCTGCTTTAGGAGATTCTCCAAAAAATCACAGAACTGTTGAACCAAATGGATTTTCTCATGAACAGACAACTGATAGAAGAGCTGATAGAATGGAAGCGGCGACAGCAGATCGCCTCCATCGGAGGGCCTCTGAACACATGCCTCGATCAGCTGCAGAACTGGTAGAGTAAAGAGCACCAACATTCTTTGCCATTTGCAGTGATGCAGATATGATGCCTTTGGACTTGATGGCTGATGTGAATTGTGAATCCTTTGAACCAGGTTCACGATGCTAGCAGAGAGCCTGTTTCAGGTCAGGAGACAAGTGAAAAAACTGGAAGAGCTGCTGCAGAAGGTGACTTATGAAGGTGATCCTGTTCCACTGCAGAGACCCCACTTGGAGGAAAAAGTAAACATTTTGATCTACAGCCTCATCAAAAGGTGCGTGATCTTCATATCGAGCCNTTTTTTTATGCTGCGACTTTCCTCCCCTCTGCCTGCCCTGTTAGGACCAAGGACACACTGTATTTTGTTGTCACAAAGAAGGATATCAGCGCTCAGTAAAATGAGATTGTATCCACTTCGATCAAAATCCTTTTTAGTTTAGTTATTTTAAATCTTAATATTAAATTTTATCTTCGATGAATAATTTTCGTTATTATAAGATTATAGCTTTTATAATTTAAAAAATATAATTTTACAATTATACAATTTCAATTCTTTTAATTTTGATCTTAAAATCTTAAAGTGATATAGAGTAAAATAAGTGTTAAACGTATGGATTATCAAGCAAATTGGCAATAAAGGGAATGAATTATAATTGTGAGAAGTTATAACGTCTATTTTCCTTCCCGTGCAGTTCCTTTGTGGTGGAGAGGCAGCCTTGCATGCCCACCCATCCCCAGAGACCCATGGTCCTCAAGACTGGAGTCCAGTTCACTGTCAAAATAAGGTGCGTGTGACCATGCTTAGTTGTAAACGGAGACCTATAGCTCAGTGATTAGAGCACCTGCCTTGCAAGCGAGAGACCTGGGTTTGATTCCCAGCAGGACGAAACGTTGGGCAAGTTTCCTTATTCCACACATCTCTGTTTACCTGGCAGTAAGTAGGAACCCGGTTATTAGTCGATTGGTGGATCCCTTTTCTGGGGGTAATAATTCCTTCAAAAAAATAATAAATTGGTCACTCAATTTACGACTGTTTGTAGGACACTGCTGTGCGCAATTGGCTACCGCCTTTCACCCACAAAATATACAGTCAATTCACTATACAGTATATTCTGTGAAGTGCTTTGAGATGTCACGAAGATGTGATAAGGTGCTGTATTAAATGCAAGGATTATTATTATTGCAATGACATGTTTCTCTTGATGATGATGATGAGTAAAAATATTAATCTTCTTGCAATATACACAAAAGAACACAATTATTCACAAGTATTTGCCTACAAAATAGGCAATCACTACACTTTACAGTGAATCATATGAAGCATTTTGAGGCATCGTGGGATCCTTAGGATGTCCCCCAAGGTGAAAGGCGCTACATAAATACAATTTGTTGTTGTTATTGTTGTCTTTCCAACATAAAACATATCAAATGCAAGGATTGTGATTATTATCTGAAAGACACGGAGGAGTGCTATATTTCATCCAGAATCAGTGAACCATGGTCTGTCAGCATTTCTCTTTGATTGACTGGTTTCTTGTTCCTTGAACGTACCTCCTAACCTCATCAAGATAATTTATCCACTTTAAGAAATCCATGCAAAAAATTCCTAATCTTGAATGGAGGCAGAATCGATTTTGTTCCCAGTAATGAACTTTCTGAATGTTTGATGTACTCTTCAGCCCTTTTCTCCACCGTCAATCTGGATCCTCGGGCGTGCTTTAGTGAGTGACATAATGTATTTTGCGGTGAATTTACATTGTGTGTGGCTTGCAAACCCAAAGGACAGATCATAGTAGGTTCAGTGAAGAATGTTTTGGGGATATCTTGTACACAACACTTCTGTTGGCCAATAATAATCTGAAGATAAAGATCTCTTTTCTTTGTAGGTTTTTGGTAAAATTGCCCGAACTGAACTATCAGCTAAAAGTGAAAGCTACAATTGACAAGTAAGTCGTTATAACGTTTTATTTTCAGTCCAATAGCCTTTACACCATTTACTAGGTTATGGAGGATCTTTTAATGCCACTTCCCTGCTCTTCTCCTTTTCCCTTATTATCGCTATTTCATAAATAACTATTGGTCTCCCTTGTCCTGTTGGGGTTCCCATCTTTTGGATGAGAAGTTAAACTGAGGTCCCCTCTGCCCATTCAGAAGGACATTAAAGATCCCATGGCACTAATCGAAAAGAGAAGGGACTTTGTGCTGGTCAATGGTCCACCAAATAAATGTGATCATTCACTTTATGGCTGTTTGTGGGATATCCCTGTGTGCAAATTGGTTACTGTGTTTGCCCGCAATATACAGGATCACTACACTTTACAGTACAGCCTATGAAGTGCTTTGAGATGTGCTCCCTATGTCAAAGGTGCTATACGAAATGTCAGATTGATCTATTATTTATTTATTAAAAGTGCCAATGGATTCTGCACCTTTGCCCTGAGGGGAGCAGGGCTCTCACAACCCTCTGTGTAGGGTGCAGTGATAAAAAGAAATGACTTTGGAGCTAAGCTCAGAAAGCTGTGCATAATTACAGACCGCAGGCAACCCTTCTCTTATTTGTGTGCTTTGATTTTTTTTCCCCCAGGGAAAGTCTAACTGCAAGAGGGTAAGCGAGAAGCTCTCAAGAATATTTTTTCTAAGATTGCTTAGTTTTTGTTCTGCAAAATTGTCGATTCTTGTAACTGTTTGTGTTCTTCCTTCAAAGCTATCGTAAGTTCAATATCCTAGGCACTAATTGCAAAGTAATGAACATGGAGGAGTCAGTGAATGGAAGCCTTTCTGTGGAATTCAGGCATTTGGTAAAAACAGCTCTTTATCCCTAGCATCTAGTATCCATTGCTGCGAAGCTCAGGGTCGAAAATAATGTAACGTTTTTGCATTCTTTGACAGCAACTCAAAGAACAGAAATCCTCTACAGGAACCAAAGGAAATGAGGTGATTAAATATAATTTTTCATCGGTAATTTTAAAAAATAAATAATCAATTATTGTGATATTTGTTTTTTGAGATTTGCCTTAAACATGCCAGAGCATTAGGGTGATATTATCATTGTGCTTTAGTATCTCACAGTCATTGTTATTGTTGACATAACGTTGAGTTAACCCCTAAGCAGCATGCAACACAACTTCAATAATCAGTTGAGGATTCCCTATGGTGTAAATAGTAAAAAAACACTCCTCTACAGTCGGCTCGGACCTTCTATAGATCCCTCCACCATCGGCAGCCACGCTTTCAGCCATTAAGTTCTGACCCTCTGGAACTCACTGCTTCACTCCTAATAAACCCCTCTTTGCCCGTGTTCGCACCTGAAGACTTTCCTCTTCAACCGTGCCTAGGGTTCACCTTCCCCTTCCTCTCTGACTCAGCAATAAACTATGCCATGGTGAAGCACTCTGAGATGCTACCCCACATGAAGGGCGCTAAATAAATGCGGGTAGTTGTCGTTGTCATTGTTTCATAGTCATATTCTGCATATTCATGACAACCTGGCACTTTCCAAATTATTTTAAATATCAGGCAATATTAAAATACTTTCCAACCGCCGCTTCTCATCACTTCCAACGGCATAAGCTAATCATCAGTGATTTTTGGCTGTTTACCTTTCTAAATGCTGCCAGTGTTTTCTCTTGTTTCATTCTCCAGGGTCCTCTGATTGTGACAGAAGAGCTCCATTCAATCAATTTTGAGACACAGTTTTGTCACCAGGATTTAACAATAGATTTAGAGGTGAGTTTATTTGCTCTCTTGGGCGTACAATGCGTTACACTCTACCTTATTATAATAATCCTATAATAACAATCCTTGAATTTGATATAGCGCCTTATCACGTCTTCGAGACGTCTCAAAGCGCTTCACAGAATATACTGTAAAGTGAATTGACAGTATAATTTGTGGGCGAATCGAGGCAGCTATATGAGTTTCTTAATTGTACATTCACTTACAAAATACACAATCACTGCACTTTACAGTTTTCTTTGATCATAGTCCTTGGAACCTCGGAATTAATTTTCTTTGCTTGTGATTCTTTCCTAAAATATGCAGACCAGTTCTTTGCCTGTCGTAGTCATCTCCAACGTGTGTCAGCTACCCAGCGGCTGGGCCTCTGTTATATGGTACAACATGCTGATGAACGACCTCAAGGTACATTTCTAACCAAACAACTGACTTTAAAATAAGTTGCGCGCTAGCTAACGCTATATTATTAGTTCCATAAAGGATACGTGAAGCTCGATGACAGATAGACCTGACAGTTCAAGGCCTGTGGTTGAGTTAATTATTTATTAAACCTGTATACATTTTCAGTCCCCTTTCAGATGAGTCATTCTGGCTTTGTTTGGATCAGTGCTTACAGCCAAGGTTTGGTACTGAGTGCTGATATCTGATTTGTGACATCAATGTCTCCGTGCTTGGTAATGTTTTTGCATTTCATGCAGCTCCTTTGACTAGGATAGCCCAATGCTGTCCTCACCCAATGTGCTTCACAGTCGATGGTCATTTGGCAGTCATGGGGAAAAGACAACCATGGCTCATTTTTCTTCTTTTTTTAAATGCTTTTTCTGTTATCTTTCCCCCCCCAGCTCCCACCCTCAGCTCCAGTGCCCAGCCAGAATTGCAATGCAATTCAGTATGTTCTCCCACAACATTATAGGCGGTGTGTAAGTTGTGTTGTACCGTCTTTAGCTCAGAATCACTGATATCATTGTTGTGCCTACATCACTACCCCAGAGGTTAACTAAACCCATTACACTGCAAGGATCAGAACTGAAACTTTCCTGATAGATATACAACTTACAATTACACTTGTACTTGTATAGTGCCTTTGATGTAGGGGAACATAAAGTGCTTTACAGAGATGGAGTAGTAACCTAAAGTGGGTGGGAGATACGGGTGTAGGCAGGAAGCGGTTGAAGGCAAAGGCAAAGATCATTCAAAACAGCACCACGTGAGCTGTCAGGGAGCCAAAGTCAAAGTACCTTATATACACCATCATCTATAATAAATAAACTCCATTTTGTTGGTGAATAACAACTTGCTTTTATTTGTTTGTCATTCAAAATAAATTCTGTGTGTTCCTGATATTATCTGGTGCCTGAGGCCATCATGACGGGAGGGAGTCCAAGAACATTGCAATAAATGAATGTTCCAATTAGACAAATGTCTCTTTAGTCAACACTGGCTGACAAGGTAGTAAAATTATAATAACATTCAGATCATTTGATAAAAGCAGCTCTTCGTTTGATGGTTTGCTGTGCGCGAATTGGCTGTCGTGTCCCCCCACAAAAAGTACAAAGTTACTCCATTTTGTAGTCAATCCTGTGAAGCACTTTGAAATGCCCTCCCAATGTGAAGATTATTTTTATTACTTATTTGAAATGTCTTGTGGAGCGCGTGGATGCTGACAGGAGGCTTCAATTAGAGAGATTTGATGAACGAGCTGTCAGACACGGTTGCTAAAGTTAACTTGTACCTTACTTATTACAGAATTTGGCTTTCTTCACCAACCCGCCTGCTGCCATTTGGAGTCAGCTTTCAGAGGTGCTGAGCTGGCAGTTCTCATCTTATGTGGGTCGAGGTCTCAATTCTGACCAACTAAACATGTTGGCAGAGAAACTACTTGGTACGTAAAGCAACCAGTCACCAGGTGAAAAGCTAACCTGTCGTTAAGCAAGTTGTGTATTGCATTGGTAGGAACATTCAACATGCTGAACTCATTCAAGAATCAATTTGATGCTGCAATGCAAAGACAGTAGGGTGGACTTTGTGGAAGGTTAAGATTAACTGGGCCAAAGAATCTTTTGTGATTTGCGTTTCAAAGGACATTGAATGATGCCACCTGGTGGATTGCATTTAGATTGTAGATCAAAACAATGGAGTTGGAGTTTCAACGAAGGGGAGAGTCAGGGAGAGGGAAGGTTTATCAGAAACTGAATATAGTGGAAGAATAATCATCCTCTGTAAAATAACAGGATTGTTACAATAATTATTTTAAATGTAAGCTATCCTAAGAGTAAAGAATGCGGAAGAGAAGCATTCAATTTTTTTAGAAATTGCACCAAAAATAATCCCATCCAAAAAATAATAATAATTTGGTCACTCAATCCACGACTGTTTTGTGGGGCACCGCCATGCTCAATTGGCTGCCGCGTTTCGCCCACAAAATAAATAATCAATTCACTTTACAATATATTCTGTGAAGCGCTTTGAGACGTATTGAAGATCAGGCACTATATCAAATGCAAGGATTATTATCATTATAAAACGAGGTCTGCTGGGTCATTGAGCTATATTTATATATTTGAAATATATAAAATGTATATATTTAAACGTTAGAGCCGTGCTACAATGCTTTTTAATATTGAGCAGCTCTGTTAAGAGAGCAGTTGGCCGACTCCTGTGCTAAAATATCTGACTTCCAGGCCATTGAGTCACCACCGACCCCATTTCCTGTGTTGATGAGGCGGGGCAGAGCCCTGATGACCCGAAGTCAGACATTTTGTCTGTGATTCACACTAACCAAGAAAGGTTGAGCTGCGGGTTCTTCAATTGCCCTCAATGTCACTTCCTGTGTGGCGCATACACCATGCATAGGAAGTGAGATCTGAGGAGGTCTCATGACCCAGCAGTTGGCCATTTTATGTAGCACAGGAGCCAGATGCATGGTGGAAGTGAGCGAGACCTGAACAGTGAAACCAGTTTTTTGGGATTCAATACAAAACGGATAGGGATTTTATGAATCCCATTCCAGCCTTGTTAATGGGGCTCCATTGTAGTCTTTGACTTTGTATGAGGTGCGGATGATTTACTTCCGGTAGTGGAGGTTTTTGGCAAATGGTCATTCAGTTCTTTTTACAAAGTTAAATTTCAAAACCTCAAAAGAGTATTTGGCAGAAATTTTAAAGCAAGATAATAAATGTTTTTTTTTTGCTCTTATTGATTATGTTACTGGAAAAGGTGAAAAGCTCCCTGAGGAAAATTTCCGTGGTTTGATAATCTGTTTCTCATGGTATTCAACATGAGGAATGCCTTATCGAGCTCCACAAATTTCACATGGTAATTGGTGTAGCTCACCATCGCCACTGTCCACATTTTAAACCTCCTTGAAGCCGTGTCATTTTTACCACCACCCACGTAGTTAACAGAAACAAAGGAACTCTTTCTGCAGGACTTTGCTGTGTGCACAATGAATAACAACTTGCTTTCATTTGTTTGGATTTGCCTACTGTACACCAATCTTTACAATATATCCTATGAAGCACATTGAGACGTCTTCACGATGTGAAAGGAGCGATATTAAATGGAAGGATTTTTATGATTTTCATTATATTTAATTTCCCGACCTATAGCCTTGTCACAGTGGTAAAGCCCGAGTAAATTCTTGATTTAATTTTTTTATTTCGGGGCTTAAAAGTATCCCAATCATGAAACTGACCCAGTAAGGTTGCGAGCTGTGCTGACTCTCCTGTGAGTTTATGCCAGGGCAACGGTTGATAAACTATTCATCGCAACAGTTATCAGAAGGTGAGGTTAGCAAGTGTCACAATTTTATTTATTATATCACAATTTATTATTTTAAATACAGAATTCAAAAGCAGTAGTACTCTGTGGGTTGTTGGGGTTTGAAGCCTTCATACTAAAGAGGAAACGGAGAAAATAACAAAAGAACATGAGTTAATATCTCCTTTTAGTTTACTGGCTCTGAATAAATAATAATAATAATAATCCTTGCATTTGATATAGTACTTTTCACGTCGGGAGGACGACCCAAAGCGCTTCACAGAAGACACTGTAAAGTGAATTGACTGCATATTTGTGGGCGAACGCGGCAGCCAATTGCGCACAGCAATGTCCCACAAACAGTCGTAGATTGAAAATGACCAATTTATTATTGTTTATGGTTTTGGAGGGATTATTATTAGGCTCTGTGTGGAGTAAGGAAACTTGCCCAAGGTTTCGCCCTCTGCCTGGAATTGAACTCAGGTCTCTCGCTTGCAAAGCGAGTGCTCTAACCACTGAGCTACAGGACTCCACGACAAATGCTGTCATCTGCATATAAAAAAAGCAAATTTGAGAGATTTAAACCAAATAGAATAATGTTCTTTGAAGCTTACACGATAGTTTCCAATGAATAATAGATCTTTTGAACAGACTAAAGTGTGGTGCAAGTGTTTTCTTTGCTCCCAAATCAGGACAATCACTGATCTGCAGATTGAATGTCTCACAAAATCTCTCCCTACTCTCCCCCAATAACTCTGTGCTGTGTTGTCTTTATTGTGGGGTAGCGCTCCAGGACATTACCCCGCATGAAAAGCGCTATATAAATGCAAGTTGTTGTTGCTATTGTCTCTCATGGTCTGCAGAAAGTGTCTTCTGGTGGAGCATGGTCCCAGGGTCACCTGCCATCCTCTGCCATCTTGCCCAAGTGGTCATTTTTCATATATGGGTGTTGTCACAGACTGCTTAACTGAGAGAGAAGAGGGTGTTTTCTCTCCAAACACAATAAACACAATAAACACAATATACACGTCCGCCAGCAGAGGTCGTTTAATAATGACTAAGAACAGAAATTGTGGCTGACTATTTTCTCTAGCCAGTCCTGTTTCCCCTATGGAGTCCTGTAGCTCAGTGGTTAGTGCACTCGCCTAAGCAAGCGAGAGTCCTGGGTTTGATACCCGGCAGGGCGAAACCTTGAGCAAGTTTCCTTACTCCACACGCCTCTGTTTACCTCGCAGTAAGTAGGAACTCGGGTGTTAGTCGATTGCCGGATTGATTTTCCGGGGATAATAATCCTTGAAAAAAACAATAATAATTTGGTCATTTCAATCCACGACTATTTGTGGGACAATTGGCTGCCGCGTTTCGCCCACAAATATACAGTCAATTCACTTTACAGTATATTCTGTGAAGCGCTTTGAGACGTCCAGAAGACGTGAAAAGCGCTATATCAAATGAAAGGATTATTATTATCATCATCATCTAGCGCAGAGGAAATGAAACCAAATGCTATACTCCCATCGTATCTTTGTTGACTCGGAATTGAAGTTGGGATCTTTATGACTTAGTAACGCATTGTACTTGGTCCCGCTGAGCTATCAGTTGGCCTGCACATTAGGGAATATGGGTGCAGCGAACAGTAATTGCAACAAAACACATTGGCATTGTGATTGTTAGTCAAAGGCAAGGAAGCATTTATATGTGGTGACAAATATGAATTAGTGAACAGGATTAACAGAATTGATAAACTAAATGTAACCTTCTAACCCCTTATTGGCCAGTCCGTTCCCTCTGCTCGGCGGACTCTGGTTTGCTCTACCTACTCCAGCCTGCCAACCCCACCATCGTCGGTTGGGCCTTTAGCCTTTCTGCCCCACCCTTTGGAACTCCAAACTACAGTCCCTTTGCCTCGCCCACCCCTTTGCCTCCTTTAAGGCCCGTCTCAAGACCTTCCTATTCGAACACCCTTCGGTTACCCTCCTTCGAGCACCACACCTCAGGAAAGATATATTGGCCCTGGAGGGGGTGCAGCGCAGTTTACTAGAATGTTACCAGCCCTTAAAGGGTTAAGTTATAAGGAAAGGCTAAATTAGATTGTATTCCCTTGAGTTTAGAAGGTTGAGGGGTGATTTGATTGAGGTGTTTAAGATGATAAAGGGATTCAATAGGGTAGATACAGAGAAGCTATTTCCTCCAGTGGAGGAATCCAAAACAAGGGGGCATTATCTTAATATTAGAACCAGGTCATTTAAGAGTGAAATCAGGAAATATTTTTTCATTCAAAGGGTGGTAGACATCTGGAACTCTCTCCCCCAATAGGCTGTGGATGCTGGATCCATCCACACCCTCAAAAATGAGGTTGATAGATTTTTGGTAGGTCAGGGTATTAAGGATATGGGGAAAAAGCAGGAAATTGGAATTGACAGGATTAGATGAACCTTGGCAACTTGTTTGACTCTCAACTATCCTTTCTACTGCACATCCATGCAATGTCCCGCTCTGCCTTCCTCCACCACCGCAACATCACCCAGCTCCGCCACTGACTCACACCGCAGGCCGCTAAGACCCTCATACACAGTTCATAACATCCAGGCTGGATTACGCAAACTCCCTGCTTGTTGGCCTCCCCAACTGCACCCTCTATAGGCTACAGATCATCCACAACTCTGCAGACTGTGTCCTCTCCCGCACTAGGCTCCATGACCCTATCACCCCCATCCTTGCCCGACTCCACTGGCTTCCCGTCACACAGAGGATACAGTTCAAGATCCTGCTTCTTGCCTTCCCAATTGATATATAAAGCCCTCCATGGTCTTGCTCCCCACTATCTCTGCGAACGTCTAACCCCCTACCAACCTGCCCGCTCCCTCCGCTCAGCGGGTTCCAGCCTGCTTCAAGTCGCCGGCCTCGCCTGCCCCATCATTGGCAGACGGGCCTTCTGCCCTCTGCCCCGACCCTCTGGAACTCCATCTTGCTGTCCCTCTGCTTCGTACCCTCCCGTGCCACCTTCAAGACCCATCTCAAGACTCTCCTCTTCAACCGTGCCTTTAGTCACCCTCCTTCCCCCTCTGCTCTCCACCCTCCCCATCCCAACCCCCAGCATAGGTCTGAAACACTGATTGTCCAGTGCCTTGGGACATCCTCCCAATGTGGCCAGACAAATGTAATGTTGTTGTTTTTGTAGTTGAGGTACAGATCAGCTATGATCTAATTGTATGGCGGAACAGGTTCGAAGGGCTGAATGGCCTACTCCTGTNCCCTGCCCTCCAGTCTCCCTGATCCGAGGCCCCAAATTGGGTGCACATCCTTGACTGTCCTCCCGATGTGAAAGGTGTTATATAAATGTAATTTGTTGTCGTTGTTTATCCAATATATATACTTGAATCTGTTTCTGTTGTGCTGCCGTTGACACAAAATGACACAGGATTTTTATAAAATAATGGGTTCCTTACAGGAAATCCTTTGTGATTCACTGGAAAAAATGGACGCTGGAAGCCCCTCACACCCTAGAAAATACTCAGTATTCATTTTAATAATTGCCTAAAATTTGGGTTTCTAAACCGCTTTAGTCATTTATACCACAGAGTCAACACTTGTAGAGGGTTGAACAGCCACCAAGGGAAATCGATACTTCCACATTTTATATCTTTCTCTTTTAAAAAATAATGTGGAGTTCTGTAGCTCAGTGGTTAGAGCACTCGCTTTGCAAGCGAGAGACCTGAGTTCAATTCCAGGCAGAGGGTGAAACCTTGGGCAAGTTTCCTTACTCCACACAGAGCCTAATAACAATCCCTCCAAAAACCAAAAACAATAATAAATTGGTCATTTTCAATCTACAACTGTTTGTGGGACACTGCTGTGTGCAATTGGCTGCCGCGTTCGCCCACAAATATACAGTCAATTCACTTTACAGTGTGTTCTGTGAAGCGCTTTGGGACGTCCTCCCGACATGAAAAGCGCTATATCAAATGCAAGGATTATTATTATTATATTATTATTATTATAATCAATTAATGTGTAATGTAATTTAACTTGTTTCTAGGACAACAACTGAATTATAATGATTGCCAAGTTTCGTGGAGTAAATTCTGTAAGGTAAGTTGTCATTTTATCCCCAATGTCTGTGTCCAGACTAAGTAATATGTTCTCTGCACCTTTAGCATGTTGTTAATATTATTCGTCATCCAAGATTAGCTGAAAATTGGGAAACTGTGGAGCTTAGGCTGAATGTAGAATAAACAAGAATTGTGGTGAACCTCAAGCAGCATATTTGAGTTCAAACAAGTGACTCTTAACTCAAAACGTAATGTTAATAAAGTAGCAGGAAAGAAAATTAAGATTATCCTTGTTCAAAAAATATATCAAGTCTGCATTGAGATATAATTACACAGAATGACACAGCAAGGAAACAGGCATTCAGCTTCACCATCTGTGTCATCTACACAAGCCTCTGCCCTTTTTAATTCCATCTCCTCTACCTTTCTATTCCTGTCTCCCTCATGTATACATGAAGTTTCCTCCTAAATATGTTGATACTTTTTGCTTCTACCACAGCTTCCAGCTGTGAGTTCCACATTTTTATCACCCTCTGCATAAAGAAATTCCTCCTAAACTCTGCTGTTTTATATTTATACCCTTCAGTTTTGGACTCAGCAATACATGAAAATAGCCTATCAATGTCCACCTTATCAAATCCTTTCATAATCTTAAACCACTCATTCGGGTCCCCTTAGAATGGTCTCAGCTCTAGAGAGAAAACCTCCAACCTATCCAATCTTTCTTGCTAGCTGCATCCATTCATCCCTAGTATCATCCTTGATTTCATTAACATCAGTCTTGATAAAAGAGAAACACTAACATCAAATTATTTTCAAGGAAGGAAACTTAAGCTTGTCAGCAAAGTATAACTTGCCAGAGCATTCATTTGTACATTTACATTGCCGTACAACACTTTCTATGAATCCCTTAGCAGCAGTCCATAGTTTTTTAAGAACAAAAGTAATCTACAGTCACAAACCACAAAGGGTACAGCAGGCAAATAAGAGGTCATTTTGAATGAAGTGTATTTGTGTGAAAGTATTTTACACTGAGTCTTATCAAACTTTAATCTCCCTCTGATTGTACAAGAATATATTGTTCACTCAGCAAACTTGAAGGCAGTTTTTCAAACAGTTGAAAGTTTTAAAGAATTTTCAGAATGAGCAGAATGAGTTGCAGACCACCTTTCCGCACTGAACTAATTATTCTTGCCTTTATTCACAGGAGACCCTCCCTAATCGGTTCAGTTTCTGGCTTTGGTTGGATGGGATCTTGGAACTGATCAAGAAACACCTTTTGGCTCTCTGGATAGATGAGTAAGTAAAGGCCTATCAGCAAAACTAAATTGTTCATACAAGGTTCTCAGTATGGATTACTGGTGCTGGGCCAAAGCAGTTAGTAGTGGGGCAATTGTAAATACTTGTATGTCCAGTGAATAATGTTTGAAATCTATTTTTCAGCTACATAGTGGGATTTGTGAGTAAGGAGAAGGAGCGAGCTTTACTGAAAGACAAGCTGCCAGGGACGTTTTTACTGAGGTTCAGCGAGAGCAGCAGGGAAGGCGCTATCACATTTACTTGGGTGGATCGGTCAGAGAATGGTGAGTCAGCACTACAGTCCATGTATTTTTTTAGATTGGACAGAACAGTAAGCAAAATTAAATAAAGAAATCCTTTGTTTGGAAATATAACATTATACAAAGGAAATCATGGTGAACAAAAAGCTATTATGATATTCCAGTTATATCACTTTTTTTACATTAAACTATTTAGAATTCAGAGCAAATTCCTATCAATGTTATGCTCATGATTTCGAAATTGCATAATTTCCTCATGATTAGTGCACAGTTGGAGCAATAGATTTCAATGATGTCTGAATATCATTCACTATTGTAAGGAATGGTATTTAGATCTGATTGAACAGAGGACCTATTGTAGTAATAATAATAATAATAATCATTGCATTTGATATAGTGCTTCACCATGTTGACACATCTCTTTTTTATATTTTCGCCAACAAAATATGTGGTCACTACACTTTACAGTAAATCCTGTGAAGCTTCATTATTAATGGCTTGTTCCGTCAACTAAAACAACAACTTGCATTTATATAGCACCCCTCACCCAGGGTTGCATCCCAGAGGGTTTGACTAACCAAATAAACTAAAGCTTCCCATGGGTAACAACTATTTCTACCCGTGTTAGTAATGTTCTGTTGATGACTAAAATACCTATTTTATTCCAATGGCTACCAGAAATCCAAAGTCTAGTTCTATTGTGCAGTATAAGCACATGATAGCTGAGAGCAGCAAAAACCACTGGAATAAAAAGGGTTTCAATTCTCTCGGATGAATCCACTAGTTTCTCTGGAGCATAATTTGAATCCTGCGGGATTTAGAATGGAGACTACGTGAGATCCTTCACAACTGGGTTTGAGAGAATGTTTCAATCAGATATCTTCCTTGGCATTTCTGGGAGGTGTTCTTGGATTTTGGATTCACTGATCTTTATTGAATGCTGAGCACAAAAGATTATGCTAATGGTTGGGTTTTATCCTTGTTTTCAGGGGAAATGAGACTTCATTCAGTGGAACCTTACTCCAAGAGTCAGCTGTTAGCTGTTCCTTTGCCTGACATCATTCGCGACTACAAAGTAATGGTGGCTGAGAACATTCCAGAGAACCCCCTGCAGTACCTGTATCCTGACATCCCGAAGTATAAAGCCTTTGGCAAACATTACAACAATAAGCCGAAAGAAGGTCAGTATCTGTCAATCTGTGTGTTGGAGAAAACATGCTAAGGCGCTATATCAAATGCAAGGATTATTATTGCATATTGGCCCTAATTGGTCTTATCTCAACCTTCATGGTTCTGCCCTTGAATAATTCAGATCCTTTCCCTCACACGTCTCCACTTCATCTCCACAAACGGTTTCTCCTCTAGCCCTGTCTCGTACGGTGTTCCTCAGGGTTCTGTCCTTGGTCCCCTCCTCTTGAATATCTACATGCTCCCTCTTGGGGACATCATCCGCAGACATAGGGTCAACTTCCACATAATAATAATAATAATAATCCTTGCATTTGATATAGCGCTTTTCACGTCGGGAGGACGTCCCAAAGCACTTCACAGAACACACTGTAAAGTGAATTGACTGTATATTTGTGGGCGAACGCGGCAGCCAATTACGCACAGCAATGTCCCACAAACAGTCGTGGATTGAAAATGACCAATTTAATTATTGTTTTTAGAGGGATTATTATTAGGTGTGTGGAGTAAGGAAACTTGCCCAAGGTTTCTCCCTGCCTGGAATTGAACTCAGGTCTCTCACTTGCAAAGCGAGTGCTCTAACCACTGAGCTACAGGACTCCACATGTATGCAGATGACATCCAACTCTATCTCTCTGCCTCCACCGTCGACTCCAGGACAGAATGTCAAGTCCTGGAATGAGAGCAAACTTTCTACAATTGAACGTCAACATGACAGAGGCCCTCCTGATTGGCTCCCGTCAGCGCCTCCACACCTCAGGCGCTGACAGCATCACCATCCATGGTTGCACACTCCCCCTCTCTGAGCCAGTCCAGAACCTTGGCGTTGTCTTTGACTCTCAACTCTCCTTTCTACCCAACATCCATACCATGACCCGCTCTGCCTTCCCCCACCTCCACAACATCGCCCGGCTCCGCCACTGTCTCACACCGCAGGCCACCGAGACCATCATGCACGCATTCATAACATCCAGGCTTCACTATGCAAACTCCCTGCTTGTCGGCCTCCCCAACTCCTCCCTCCATAGGCTGCAGATCATCCAGGACTCTGCAGCCCATGTCCTCTCCAGCATTAGGCTCTGTGACCCTATTACCCCCACCATCGCCCAACTCCACTGGCTTCCCATCACACAGAGGATACAGTTCAAGACCCTGGTCCTCACCTTCAAAGCCCCCCCATGGCCTTGCTCCCCGCCTAGCTCTGCGATCTCCCGATCCAGCCTACTCCACATGAGCCACCACCGTCCTAATCCGCCACTTCCTAGCCTCCCCCTGTAGCCTCTATTTCTTCCTCCTTCAGTTATGCTCTTGTGGAAGGATTTCTGTAGCAAGATCAGCAATATCAAACGGTCCAGCCTACCTGCTCCTTCCGGCCTGCTTCACGTCCCTCGCCCGCCCCACCATGCCTTCAGCCACTCTGCCCACACCCTCTGGAACCCCATCCCACAGTGCCTCCGCCTCGCCCCCTCCCTTGCCTCCTTCAAGACCCGTCTCAAGACTGTGCCTTTGATCACACTCCTTCCCCCCCTGCCCTCCACCCTACCTGATCCCAACCCCCAGCTCGGGTGCGAAAACACTGATTGTCCAGCACCTTGGGATATCCGAACAGATACAATACAGATTTTTGCAAACAAGTACATCATAACATAACAATAATAAAGGAAGAATAGTAAACCAGGTATAAAGTGAAACGTCAAGAAACATCGGAAGTCCTTTGATATTACTGATCTTGCTACAGAAATTCTTCTACAAGAGCATAACTGAGGGAGAAAGGAATAGAGGCTACGGGTGGAGGCTAGGAAGGGGGTTGATTAGGATGGTGGTGGCTCGTGGAGTATAAACAATGGTACAGACCACTTGAGTCTGTTTCGGTGCTACAAATTCTATCTGTGTAACAAATTCTGTGTAACCTCTCAAGGTCTTGGATTATAGCTCTTATAAGATTCTGTCAGACTTGCAAGTGTCAGTTCCTAAGGCTTCTCATCAGACCTGGAGCTCTTAAGGTTAATTCGGTTGTTATAGACTGTAACTATTATCCCCAATGCAACAATTGAAATATATCAATATTGGGTTTTATCTTACAGTTTCTGAGCCCACAGAGACAGAGAAGAAAGGGTATATCTCCTCAAGGTTTATCCCGTTCTCTGAATTGTAAGTATGAGTGACCAATACATTTTTTTACTAAAAATGGTTTGTGGGTGAAGTGACCATTTAATCATTGTATTTTACAGTCCAAATGCTTCCACAGCCCCAGTTTCCTCATCAGACCTACTTCCCATGTCACCGGGAGTATATGCTGAACTGAAACAGCAACTGAGTCCAGCAGAAATCGAGACTGCTGTATGTTTTGAAGAAATGATTTGAAACTGAATTTCAATGGCTTCTCACTATTACATTCACGCCAAATGCTGTATATCATACATATCTGATCAAGTGTTTAATTTCAAAGAAGGATGAATAAGTGTTATCCAGCTATGTATTTACAATGTGGGAAAACTAAGAAAGAATTTATTAGCATGATGTTAAGAATGACAACTATGTAATATTTAACAACCGGATAGCCAGGTAATATTCAACAGCCATGTTACAAAATATTAACTGTTGTTAACATTAAATACCCAATTTGTAACATGCACTGAATTGAGCAGAATATTCTCCATCATACTATCCAAAACTTATTTACAAGCTGGTCTTGATGCAAAGTGATAAAAGTGTTATAAAATGCTTGTTATGTCCGTAAACCTAATTACCTTATATTATAGTCACATCTGAGATCCATCTCAATGCTATATTCAAACAACCTGTCGTGTTTAATTTTGTACCTCCCTAAGGCACATAAATTAAGAGATAGCACAGCTCTGTTATCATCTTATTTCTTGCCCAGATGTTACTTCTGTTTTAGCATTTGTTAAAAGTTTGCATTTATTTTTGTATCCACTCCAAAAGATACTTTCTTTTCAGCGATGATTGTATAACTTATTGCATAACTTAGTTTCAAACGTTTATGTCACAAAGTATCCGTCTTGTTCCAAAACTAAAAATAGTAGTAAATATCCAGTATAACTTGCACTTACAGATTGAAACATTGACCAAGTTGCAGGCGAGGAGTCTAACATAATGCAGAACCATCATTATTTTCATGAGAAAAACCTTTCGAGAGAGTATGAATACTACTTAAGTTAGTTTGGATATTGTCAATTAGAAAATCGAGCAGAGATGCCTTTTTGAACTACTTCATCTGTGCTTCTGTGAGAGAGTGCGCTGTACGATCTGTACACATAGAATTAATGGTCTCAAAGCCATTACTCACCAAAAACTAATGCATTGTTTCCAATTTGTTTTGTTTCCTGAAAATTGATAGTCTACATTAAAGATATTTGGTGCGTGCCTCTGCATGGGCACCAAGAGATTTCGGAGCTCTGGGATGTTTTACAAATTCTACACAAACCTCCTCTTCATTTGACTGTGTAAAATATCTTAATATATTTGTAACTTGTTTTTGAATGTTTTCTTTCCAATAACCGCGTTTGCACTTTGATTTTCAAAAAGTGCTTCTCCCTAGTGTTCAGCGGAATCCACTTAATATAACATAGACCTTTATGGCATAAAATGGAAAGCTGAAGTGCTTTACTTTTTTTAGTTGCAAACTTGTTACAATTGCATGTGAGTTTGTTAAGGAGGTCAAATGTTCAAACAAGTTTCAGTTTGTGTAACATGGTATAGGATGCATTTGTAATAAATAAGTACATTTTCGAAAAGCTGTGTCTTAAGTTTTCTACAATAACAGACCATGGACTTGTCTTATTGCAAATAGTAACAAATATATAAGGTTAGACAAAGGCAAGGATTCAAAATTGAGGGTTTAAGATTTCTTCCAATCAAATGCAGCAATTTTCCAGTTCATTTGCTTTACACAGTAAATACGGTGACTTGTTATGTTACCTCTTAACACAAGTGCCTAAGATTCCATCTACTTTTTATCTCAAAATTGAGCAGAAATGTGAAAAAATAATCTTAATTCCAGTCATGATTCCACAGTTCTTAAAAGTTCATAAGTTTTAAGACGGCATAGTTCTTGCTTACGTATTCCACTTCTCTTCACTATGTGGTAGGTACGTCTTGCTGCCTCTTACATTTGGGATTAAATAATGCAGGCTGCTGATTTCAAATGATCAATTTCTACCTATTTGTCTGATTGGGGTTTTGCTCTCTAGAACTCCATACTGGAGTCTGTCTCCTTTGCTTTAAAACCTGCTTTAAGACCATCTCTTCAACCACACTTCCAATCACCTCCCCCCGCGCCCTCAGGTTCCCAGTCAGCGATGTGAAGCTCTTCAAGATGTCTTCTTGACTTGTAAGGCCTCTATTTAATTGTAAATTGTTGTTATTGTTGTTGCTACTTTGGACCAAGAAAACTGTAAAAAAATGTTCAGCCATTACCTCTAGTTGTGGAACTGGAAACAATAATGATTTGATACTAAAACTAATAGCAGTAATAAACGCGACTGCCAGGCTGTTACACTGGGTCGTAAATGGATTTTAATTAGTTTTGTTTTAACATTAGGGTGCACAGTACATTATGATTGGTGTGATTATACTTCCTGTGCAGAGCAACTTGGAAAATGAAAGTGAAACTAAAGAGTGCAAATAACCAAAACAGGGGAAAGGAAACTGGACGCCACAGTGTGAATGCTGTTTATATATTGGTTCTCAAGGTGACACTTATTAAAAGATCAACTAGAAATACAGCATTGAGGAAACCGCAAGCACAAAAGGTTTATGAAAATAGGGATATTAATGCAAGGATCAGGTTGCGTGGATGTAAAAATAAAATCAAGTGGGAAGAAAAATGTTGAGTTCACAAGATCTCAAGATCTGTTTGGATGACGTTAAATGTAACAGTAAAGAGAAACAGGGACGCTTTCTCAATAAATGGATTTTTATATTCCAGAGCTCTTGTAATTCATGCCACCATTTCATTTTCCTGACTGAGTTCCACAAATGCATGTCATTTACACAAAAATATGTGACTTGGGAATATAATATTTTTGATTAAAAAAAAAGAAACTTGATATTTTGGGGGAATAAAACAACAAAAAAATTACATTTATGTAGCGCCTTTCACGTCGGGAGGAAGTCCCAAGGCGCTGGAATATAAAATATAAATATAAAATAGTAGTGCACTCTCTCCCTGGTGTGACTCACCATCCTTGTCTAATTCTGGAAAGTAGTACCCGAATGCACTCCGGGACCCTAACCCTTGGCGTTTAACCAACTAGATTATTTGAGGAAATCATTATTCTAAAACTGTGGCGTTAATGATTCAAATCTGAAATACTTTGCCAGTATCTGTGAAGCAGTTCTTATAATTCTGTGTGTGTGGCGGGGTGGGGTTCAAAGACTTCCTTTTTCTTTCACAGCTATTTCTTTCTCCTTCCCCATTTTTGGATTTCTCTGCACTACTCTGATAAGTAGCAATCCTTGATGGAAAATAAGCTGTATGCTACATGCCATCCTGCCTCAGTGCATAGTGCCTTGTGGAGTCTTGTAGCTCAGTGGTTAGAGCACTCGCTTTGCAAGCGAGAGACCTGGGTTCAATTCCAGGCAGGTCAGGGCGAAACCTTGGGCAAGTTTCCTTACTCCACACGCCTAATAATAATCCCTCCAAAACCCAAAACAATAATAAATTGGTCATTTTCAATCCACGACTATTTGTGGGACATTGCTGTGCGCAATAGGCTGCCGCCTTCGCCCACAAACATACAGTCAATTCACTTTACAGTATATTCTGTGAAGCGCTTTGAGACGTCTAGAAGACGTGAAAAGCGCTATATCAAATGCAAGGATTATTATTAATACAGCACATTGCCTCTGAGCCAGAAGGTTGTGGGAAAATCCTGTGTTGGGGATTTTTTAGTGTGTGGTTCAGGCTGACGCTCCAGTGCAGTTTGTGAGGAGCTCTGCATTGTTGGAGATGCTATCTTTCAGGTGAGATGTTGAACTGAGGTTTAGTCTGTCTAATGTCAAGTAAATGTTGAAGAACCCATGACACAAAGCATGCAATAACAATAAACATTCACGGAAATGAATGCAAATTTAAAAACTTTTTCTTATTTATTTTCACGGAATGTAGTGCCATCTGCAAGAAGTGCAGGAATGGCAACTGTAATCATTTGACTTTGCAAACTGCAAAACAAAGTGTTGGGCTGGAGAAAGCTTAGAACTTGGCAAGCCTGAACAAGAAAAGATATCTGCTGAACAATAACATTGAGACACATGGCAGAGTTTAACTGATGAAATCTTGTTTCACAAATAAACAAGGCAAGAAACGTGCAAATGGTAAAATTTTGGCTTAAANTTTTGCCTGGTTTCCATACAAAATTACTGTAGTTTTATGCCAATTTTGTCAAAAAGCAACCTACAGTAGATAGCGCCTACAGCGCCTTGGGACGTCCTCCTGACGTGAAAGGCGCTTTATAAATGGAATCTTGTTGTTGTTGTTGTTGTAGATATTTTTGGTAGTGGTTAAGCCATCAGTGGATTCGGACCTGATATAACCGAGCTCACAGAGTGTTTGCATGAGTTCCAATTGTTTTATGGAAATTACAGAAAAATACCATCACTGAGTCAGAACAAAACAGTTACACGAGTTTTCTTTCCTTAAATGGGATTCTCTTTAATCCCAGATCTGTTCCAACTTCAGACGTTATAGTGGCCAATACTTTTACGCTTGACACTTATACAAATGTGTTTTTCGACTTTGTGCATTTCAAACAATTCACATTGTTTCTCCCCACCACCCCCACTACTACTTTCTGTCTCTCAGAGTTTGAGACCACCAGCACATACTCTCCCTCTTCTGCAGATAAAAGTCCTCTAATCACACATCTCTTTTTGACATAACTACACAATTAGATAAAGGAGAAACAGACACTACTCATTTCTATCAAGGTTACAGAAGATCTCAGCAGAATTTAATTTCAAAGTATAGCGGTACAAATGTTAACTTCCATTATAAGCAAAATGCTAAATAAAACAGCAAAAAGTTGAGCTTACAGAATCTTATGGTTCATAATGTTAAAGTCATTATAAATATAAGTTGCATACTGCCAAAGCTTAGCAATTAGCAAACACCAGCCTGCTCCATGTTCCCCCCCACAGCGCACCCCACCATCGGCGGTTGGCCTTCAGCCTCTCCTCCCCCACACTCCCTTCGCCTCGCTCCCTCTCTTGCCTCCTTCAAGGCACGTCTCAAGACCCTCCTCTTCAACCGTACCTTGGGCCACCCTCCTACCCTTTCTGCCTTCCACCCTCCCTGATCCCAATGCCCCCTTCACCCCGCCCGCTGCTCCGGTCCTAATCCCTAACAGTTCCGTGCCTTGGAGGATGTTGTCTCGATGTGAAAGGTGCTTTACAAATGTAATTTTATATTGTATGTTACAATTGTTATGCACATAAAATTCAACTGCAAAGTCTGAAAATAATGACGTGAATTATAATAATAATAATAATAATCCTTGCATTTGATATAGCGCTTTTCACGTCGGGAGGACGTCCCAAAGCGCTTCACAGAATATACTGTAAAGTGAATTGACTGTATATTTGTGGGCGAACGCGGCAGCCAATTGCGCACAGCAATGTCCCACAAACAGTCGTAGATTGAAAATGACCAATTTATTATTGTTTTGGGTTTTTTGGAGGGATTATTATTAGGCGTGTGGAGTAAGGAAACTTGCCCAAGGTTTCGCCCTGCCTGGAAGGGCAAGAAATACCTAAAACATTAATAATTATGTTGAATAATTACACTAAATTGCACTCATATGCATTTAGCAGGTTGTATAATTGTGAAAAGTACATTATATTTAGGTTGCTTTATTATAACTATCCCTGCATTTGGTGTAATGCCTTATCATATTGGAATATCTCAAAGTGCTTCACACGCAATTTCACACAAGTGATGAGGTCGGAGGTTAGAAGTGGGGATGAGAGATGGTAAAACAAATACTCTGAAAAGATTGCACAGAGGGAGCACACCATAGAATGCTTAAGATGAAACATAAATTTTGATCCAAGTAAGTCTTGCGTTCGTGTTTTCCTGTAAGAAGCCTTTCTGTAAAAGGATTATTTCCGTAAACAGACGACGTGTATTTCTGCGTCAGTGCTGAAATTCGCATAGTAACCCTTACATCAGGTGCAGCGCCGTTCGAGGCGGAAGGACGTCTCAGAGCGCTTCGCAAGGATGTACAGTAAAGCCTCACATAAGTCGTACCAGTTGGCATCGCACAATTAATAACAATAAAAGCATCAGTTATGTCAAGTCAGCGTAGACCATAAACCCTTGGAACGGGAACTCGGGCAGATGCGCGACTTTGGCGGCGACACGATACGATTTATACGGATCCGACGTACCCGAGCTCTACCGTCAAAGGCGGAGGGCGGGGACCGTGAGGTTCTCGGGGCCCGAACGCCGGTCGGCAACAAACGGCGGCGGGTGGCGCAAACCTGCGAACAGTTGCGACAAGAGGCGCGTGGCGTTCCTGGGAAAGCGGGCGGTAGACTAGGACGACAACACGCACACATATATATATATATATATATATACACACAGATATGTGCGTGTGTGCGTATTGGGTCATTTTCAATCCACGACTGGTCGCGGGACGCTGTGCTGCGCGCGACCGGCTGCCGCCATCCGCCCACCAACTGTTCCGGTCAATCCGCTTTGCGTCGGGAAGACCTGGAAAAGCGCGATGTCGAAACGCAAAGATCATTATTACGATTATTGGGATTATTGTTTTTCGGACACAGACGAGACAGACGGTGGGTGGGTGGGGGGGTGGGGTGGGGGGGGGAGCGAGCGAGGGAGGGAGACAGTGCGGGGGGTGGGGGTGTTTAATGACCGCTCAGCGCAGACAGACACACAGACACACAGACACCCCCCACCCCCTGACTTTCGCTTTCCTCTAACTCGCGCGGACCTGGTGCTGCTGTAACTTCTCGGAAAGCACGTGGGCCGCTCTTCCCACAGCTCTCCCCCTCCCCCTCCCCGGGCCCCGCCCCCTTCCCCGGGCCCCGCCTCCGGCCCCGCCCCCTCCCTCCCCCTCCCCCTGGCCCCGCCCCTCGCCCCGCCCACGTCGGCAGCGGGAACACTGTCGACTCCGGCGCTGAGCCGAACGCGATTGGTCAGGAGCCGCGTCCGGTCCCGCCCACCACCCCCCCGTCAGGGCACCCCGGGGGCGCTGATTGGTCGAGGTCAGTGTCAATCAGTGGGCGGGCGGGCGGCGCCCACTCGGCCTGACTTGTTGCTCCCGGTGCACGTCGGAGCCGCAGCAGTGTCGGTGCCGGACATCAGTCGGCAACAGCTCTCCCCCTCCCCCTCCCCCCTCCCCCGGGCCTCCCTCCCTCCCTCTGCCGTCAGCCACAGCCGGTCAACCGGTCAACCGGTCAGTCAGTCAACCAACCAACCAGACGACCAACAAAAGACGTGAGCGCCGACTTCAGGTCCCGGTTCAGGTTTTGGTTTTTTTTTGTGTGTGTGTAGTGTTCAGAGACGACTTCATCTCCTCCTCCTCCTCCTCCTCACACCGCACCGCACCGCGCACCAGGTGAGTGTCCCTCTGGGTCTCCCTACACAGGTGTACACAGGGTCTCTGGTGAAAGCCTTGGGATTGACTCAGGTTTCATCACACACCGACCACCGGGTTATTATTATTTTTTTTTGGGGGGGGGGTTTGGGGGTGTGGGGGGGTGTGTGGGGGGGGGTTTGGGGTTTTATGGGTTTCCAAAAAATATGGATGTGTTGTTGCTCATGTTCCAGCCCCCGGTTTAATCTCCCAACAGGTAACCTGTGGCGAGGGACGCGGTGGGATTCCCGCGGTTAGAGCGAGCGAGAGACCCCGGGGTTCGGGTCCCTGACCCGGCGAAATGTGGGGGCAAGTTTCCTTAACGCCACGCGCCACCCCCCCGCCCTCCCCCCCCCCCCCCCACCCCCCCCATGTCTTACCGGGCGGTAAGAAGGAACCCCGGTTGTCAGTTTGATCGGCTGATCCCTTCTCCCGGGGGTGGCAATCCCCCGTCCGAAAAAGTATACCGTAATTGGTCACTGAATCCGTGACTATTTGTGGGGCGCTGCTGCGCCCAGTTGGCGACTGCACTTCGCCCGCGACGTACGCAGTAAACTCACCTCACAGTGCAGTCTGTGAAGTGCTGTTGAGACGTCTGGAAGACGTGCGAAGGCACTGTGTCAAATGCAAGGATTATTATTGTCTCGGCGTCGTGCGGGAAGAACCAAGTTGTTGGAATGGTTGGCAGAGTATTTGGGGTTCCCTGTGAATTGTTCTTGCTCTAAAAAGAAAACTCCCTCTGATCACATCCCCAGCTTTGGTCCCAAGCCAGAATTGTCAAGGGTTTTGGAATCCCCCTCTGACTTGAAAGTGCTATGTAAAGTGTACAGTATAAATACATTCATTCGGTATGAAATACAGTAAAACACGCATTAGTCTTATCTTTATAAGTTGTATAGTCGCCAAATTTGTACACTCACTGAGTCCCATTCAGATTCCTAGCAAAACCACTAAGATTTTTTTCAACATGTTAATCACCGCGTAACTCCACTGCCCTACGCTCACAGAAAATATAGTCTTGACCCGTCGTCGTACGCGCAGAAGAATTTCATTTCCCAGGATGCCAACGCGTGCTGGTAAATTTGTAATCAGAGACGGGTCAAAACGGATTAAATCGCAGGAATTAATCGGTATTAATCTTACCGTCTGCAGTGTCGAACTACCTCACGTGCACTTACCTACTGCATTGAATTACGCCTTTGCAGTGTAGATTATTGATTAAATTGAATTTTATACAATTTGCCTAGAATTTGGACTTTGTGTAAAGCCATATTAAATATTATGGTCCCGACTGATATTATGTATGTGAGTTTTACTGTCTTTATTGTTTAAACATTGCACTATTAACGGTGTAGATTTACATAACACTTGCATTTGGCATTGCGCTAAATCGTGTCAAAAAATCCCGGTGTAATAAATATAGTAACTGGCATTATGGTGGCATTTAATCTGTCAGCTGTATTGCACAAACAGTAATAACAACAAATTGCATTTATATAGCCCCTTTGGCATCGAGAGGCCCTAAGTGCTGAAACATCTTGAAAAGATGACTGGCTAAATTTAAACTTGTTTTGGTGGATTTGGGTGACAGCAGCTTACCAGCTGGAACCTGGGAGAACTATCAGCTCTTCATAACAGTTGGATCATTAATGTCCACATGAATAAGGAGACGGGACACTCTCGACTTCAATGATGTCATTGTTGCACTGAAGTCAGTCGATCAAAATTCTTTTTTTTTTCCTGAAGCACACTGAATTTTGTCCACGTAACTTTCATTTCAATTATATTTTGTAAATTGCTTTGAGGTGTTTATTTGCCACAAAATGACACATTCACAGTCGATTTACACTTTATAATAAATTCTGTGAAGTGCATTGAGACGTCTCGATGACATGATAAGCAGTTATATCAAATGCAATGATTATTAATATTATAGATTTTCCTCCTATTCTAACCTTTTTTCCGTAACATTCTCACTTACCTTTTTCCTTCTTTCATCCAATTTGGAAGGTGGAAGTAATTTTTTTTTAAAAGAGTGTTTTCATTGTTCCCGAACCAGAATTTACGACCAGTTTTGCAGCCAATGAAAGAACTAAGAGTGATAGCAACACAACATTAGAAGTGTTCATTGCTTAGATTTTTGAATGTGGATTTCCAACAGCCCTCAGAGAAGTCAGAGCAGTGTTGTCTGGATTGCTCAACGTAATGTAATTTTGTGGGTGTGTTGCTCCATGAATTATGGTAGGTACCACAAGTAGAACATTAATCTTCCCTAAAGGCCATCAGCATTTATTTTGTTTCATGGTACCATATTTGTTGGATAAAGAAATTTGGGGGGGGAAAAAATCCTTTCGGCAGCTATCTCCCCTGATGCTTGGAAAAGGTCCTTACTGACTTACTGTGTTGCACTACCTTTAGTTTGGAAACAAAAATCAATTGGGGCACTCTCTCCAGATTTCTGTCCAGGGATCCCTGTTTGCCGTGGGAACATCAGACGAGGATACAATCTTGTTCAGCTGTGATATGTATAATGAAACAGTTGATAACCACCCCCGAAAGTCAAATAGATCACAGTCATTCACTGTCAAAGGAGTCATGGTGAAGGGGCGGGGGAGAAGAATTGACAAAACAATGGTTTGATTTAGCCAGCCATATTCTTTTATGTCAACACAACATTTTGGTTGAAAGTTTTGGAATAAAATTCTCCTTGGATCCAGATTTACTTAATTTTCCCCCACAAAAGTGCGGTCGATTCACTTGACAGTATATTCTGTGAAGCACTCAATGACGTGATAGCGTGCTACATCAAATGGAAGGAATTATTATTATAACTTCATTAAGTGCAGCCACACGGGGAGCGGCGGCAGGACAGCGCGGCGAGGAGCCTGGGCCTACCTACCCGGGTATTTAAGGTCGCGGCGGCAGGGAGTGCAGCTTGCGGGTCTGAGGAGGGAAGGGGTGGGGGCGGTGTGGGGGAACCGCTGACGTCATAGTTTAGTTTCCAGGAGTGTGCGCGCGCAAAAAAAAAACAAAAAAACCTCTGCACCCCCCACCCAGGGCTCACATCAGGGCCCACCATGGTCCTGTTGGGTTGGCAGCCCCAGCCTATGGGCTAATGCCATCCACCTGACCGCTCGCTCCTGGTCTCCGCGTGCGCACTATGGCTGCCGCTTTGACCCGAGCCCCCTCAGCCCCTCCCTCCCCCCTCCTCTCTACCCCCAAACCCTCCCCCCTCTGCATCTCTCCCGCTCTGCCCTCTCTCTCCGTCCCTCTCGCCTTCTATCTCCACTTGACCCTCCCACAACCTCCCTCTGTTCCAGCCTGGGAATCCTTCACCGGGCTCACCGTGGCACTCGGCGTTGGCTGTCCAGCAGCAGCCACACCGACTGCCCCATTCCCCATCACACTCGCCAGCCACCCCGGACACAGACCCGGGGAGCCAACCTCTCCTCCCTCATCCCCATTTCCCCCACCCCTGCCTCACAACCGGGACCCCCCTCCCTCCCCACACACCCTTCTGTCAACCGCTCCCTCCACATTGGACTACAAAACGTCTGCTCCCTCTGTAACAAGGCCCTGGTCATCAACGATCTCATCCTTGATGAGCGCATTGGCATCATGGCCCTAACGGAAACCTGGCTCACCGCAGGTGACACCTTCCCCCTCACGGAGGCCACACCACCCGGCTACACCTCCTACCACATCCCTCGCCCCAACCGCCCTAAAACCTCTCCCACTTTCATCTCTGATATTTCGACACTTCTCACATCTCTCTGCCTCTGCTCTGATCGCCTCATCATCCTGGGCGACTTCAACCTGCACTTCACCCCCTCCTGCTCCATCTCCTCGGACTTCTCTTTCCTGCTCTCCTCGCTCAACCTCTCCCTCCCCATCAACTCCCCCACTCAACTCCCCCTCTCAACTCCCCCTCCCCTTCAGCTCCCCTCTCGACTCTCTACCCCCTCCTCGCTCCCTCCCTTCCCTCCCCTCACCCTGACCATTTCCCCCCTGCTCGGGTCCTGACCCAACTGTACAGCGCCTTGGGACGTCCTCCCGACGTGAAAGGCGCTCTATAAATGGAATCTTGTTGTTGTTAATATTTCATTTCAGATTGTCCAGAATTTGTCAATTTCTTAATTTCTTAAATGCAATCTTTAATTTTGAAGCCGCTTTTATTTGAGTTCCTTTCTGAACTACTGAAACTGGCTTCAAATTGAACACCAAATTCAACAATTTAATAAATTCTGCGCTCTGAAATGCTAAATTAATAGCGTAAATCAAGACCCAGGTGGATCTTCTAACCCACAATTGGTGGATAAAGGAATGTAAATTTCTTAAAATTATCACAGATTTGGATTTGTTTAAATAAAATAACCAATTTGTTTATTTTTGATCTGCAGTTGAATAAGTTGCTATTCTGCTCAACTGGCTGATAAATATTGACTGACATGAAGTAGCATGTCTTTATTGAAAACTATGGCTAGGATTTTAAGCAACAAGTCTTCATTAATAGTTATTTTAGAGTTATTTTGTCGACAGTTACCTACAATGTACCCCGTGAACGTTCATGTTTGAACAAAGAGGAATATTATAAGGTGTGGGAACGAGTAGGAAAATGGGAGTAAATTCATTAGCTCATGTAGAACAAAATGCCAGCACGATTGAATGTCTGACATCTGTCCCGTAATATTTAATAAAAAGGCACTTCACCGAGTTGCAAATTACCCTCAATATTTAGCAAATGAATAAAATGCTGCTAATGTAAATTGCACTAAAATGATATACATCAACTGTGCATAGTGTTTTAGAAAACAAATTACAAATCCAACTCTTTCAGTTTTAAGTTGTAAAATGTCGCAATTTGGACCTGTTTTAACTAAGGTGTGTCGAAGAAAGAAGGTATCCTAATGGTGTTGGGTTTCATCACTTTGAGCCAACTTTCAGCTATGTTGGCTGAAAGCTATGTCACCATATTGTACTGTACTTGATTTAACTAATCTTTGAATAGGATCAAGGTTTGGAGAAATGTGTCTCCGTTTCTTGTGCTTGTTTGATAACACCGACGATGCACCTAGCATTGTATTTATGTTACAAACTACTTAAGATAAACATTCATTCATATCGTCTGAGATCTGGATACTGTTGAATCTGCTCACTCTATTGCCATTTGCTTTAAAGTTGCACTTTGTGGCTTTATGTTTGTCTGTCATATTTTCCACAAGAGCAGGGGAAAGTCTGTGCGGGAATTCAGCTAAAAATTGCTCCGTTGAACAATGACAGATGCTGTTAGTCAAAGCAGCTGTGGTTTAACGGCTTTGCGAGTGAGAGACCTGGGTTCAATTCCTGGCAGGGAGAAACCTTGGGCAAGTTTCCTTATTCCACAAGCCTGATAATAATCCCTCAAGAAAAGAAAACAGAATAATACATTGGTCACTTCAATCCACGACTGTTTGTGGGACACTGCTGTACGCAATTGGCTGCCACATTTCGCCCGCAAATCTACAGTCAATTCACTTTACAGTCTATTCTGTGAAGCGCTTTGAGACATCTAGAAGACGTGAAAAGCACTACATCAAATGCAAGGATTATTATTATGTTTATATTGCACTCAATATTATTTCTAGGATAACTAATAAAAACACTTCTTCGATGGCTCTTTGAGCCACCTGAGGAAGCTGGTATCATCTGAATTACTTTACAAGAATTTTCCATCAATATTTCGGCTGCCGTAATATAAGACTTATTGTGTGGCACAGAATCCTCTTGGAAATTCCTCGCCTCTACCCTTTGCCAATGAAATGTCTCACTACCGCAGAAGACGAGTGTAAACACGATCAAACACGCACACCCGTTCTTACTTTCACATTTCTATTTGTCAGTCCATCATGCCTTTGAGGGCTAGTACATGTTAGCAGCTTCTGAGCACAAATGAAAAGAAGTGGGTCAAAAGTTAGTACAACAACAACAAGATTGCATTTATAGAGCGCCTTTCACGTCGGTAGTACGTCCCAAGGGGCTGTACAGTTGGATCAGGACCCGAGCAAGGGGGAAATGGTCAGGGTGAGGGCAGGGAAGGGAGGGAGCGAGGAGGGGGTAGAGAGTCGAGAGGGGAGCTGAAGGCACGGTCAAAGAGAAAGGTCTTGAGACCGGCCTTGAAGGAGGAAAGGGAGGAGGCGGCGAAGGCACTGGGGGTTGGCGTTCCAGAGCCTGGGCTGAGAGGCTGAAGGCCCGGCCACCGATGGTAGGGCGGTTGGGGCGGGGGATGTGGAGCAGACCGGAGCCAGAGGAACGGAGGGTACGGGCAGGTAGGTAGGGGGATAGTAGGTCGGAGGGGTAGGAGGGAGCAAGGCCGTGAATGGCCTTGTAGGTGAGGATGAGGATCTTGAATTCGATCCTCTGGGGGATGGGGAGCCAGTGGAGGCGAGCGAGGGTGGGAGTGATGTGGTCGCGGTGTCTGGTGCGGGACAGTACACGAGCTGCAGAGTTCTGAATGACCTGCAGCTTGTGGAGGGAGGAGCCGGGAAGGCCGGCGAGGAGAGAGTTCCCATAGTCCAGCCTTGAGGTGATAAAGGCGTGGACCAGGGTTTCAGCAGCGTGAGGGGTGAGGTAGTGCCGTAGTCTGGCGATGTTTCGGAGGTGATGGAAGGCGGTGCCAGTTGTGGTGCGGATATGAGGAAGAAATGACAGCTCAGGGTTGAACAGAACGCCGAGGTTCCTGACTGACTTTGAGAGGTGGAGAGTACATTGTGATGGTTGGGATAATACTTTTATTTGATATAGCGCCTTAACACGATCAAAATGTCACAAAGCACTTGACAAGATCTTACTGTGAAATACAGGGATTGTGCATTTGTAGGTCAACACAGCAGATAATTTGCACTTAGCAAAGACCCACAAAGTTCCTTCACCACTGCTGGGGGGAGTGAAGGGGATAATCTGGAAGGCCAGTGTTTTCTTGGGTTGTTAGTCTGCTAGCATTGAATATCGGGATGGGTGAACATCTTGAGGTTTTTGTTGGCTTGCTGTCGGGGATGGAGTAATCTTTAAATACAGTCCACTAGTTTCTAAATACATTCCTTACGTTGGCCTGAGATGAATTATTGCCATTTTTTTCCCCAGATGATTGATCTCACAAGCTTTTTACCGGTTTAAGGAACACAGTAGTGTCGAGGGTCACTGAGTTTCCAGTGAGCTTTATCCTAATGTTAACCTTTTTGTTTCTATTTTAATCATTAGCAAAATCTGCTTTGAAGCCTGATTCTTGTTGGCTGTGTTAGGCGTAAATACTCTTGTGTGAATGGGACCTTTCAAGGAGACCTTTTGTTAAGACAGCTGCATTTTCTCAACAGAATGTCTCAGTGGTATGAGTTACAACAGTTGAATTCCAAGTTCCTGGAGCAAGTCGATCAGCTTTACGATGACAACTTTCCAATGGAAATCAGACAGTATCTTGGACATTGGCTGGAGACCCAGGATTGGTGAGAATATTGGTCATTTCAATTCCAAACTGCACAATTAATCTGTCAAAGTAAATTTACCCACCGTAGCCAGCGAGTGGGTACACCTTGTTCTCTGTTAGATGATGTATGTGAGGTTGTTATGACCGAACTATCATTAAGGGGTTTGTGATCAGACTGCTGACCATTGTATTTGACAAGGGTGGTAAAATATGACAATCAGGGAATCTTTTGCCTACTGTTTTGTAATGAATCTCTTCCAACTCCAGTTTCCTGCATGTTCCACTTTCCCTCTCGCATTTCATCTCGCCTGTTGTTGGCCAAGCCTTCAGCCACTGTACGCCACTGCTCAGTGGAAAATTCGCTCTGAGGTCCTCCTCCTCTCAGTGTTTTCGAACCTTTTTTTAAAATTAAAAAAAAGTTTATTTGGTAAATCTCCCTTAAATTCTCCTTCCTTTGCTCTCTGTGAAACACTTTGATACATTTGTCTTATGTGAAATGCATTAGTTATAGAAGTGCAAGTTTTTTATTGTGCCTGATATTGGTGGGCTGACTTTAGTTGTGTTCGGTTGGGATAGGGAGCACGCTGCTACGAATGACTCCATGGCCACTCTGCTCTTCCATGAAATGTTGGTGCAGCTGGATGATCAGTACAGCCGCTTCACCTTGGAGAACAACTTCTTACTACAGCACAACATCAGAAAAATCAAACGCAATCTTCAGGTACAGTTAAACGTAACTCCTCCATTTCATTCAGCTCACAACCGGGCTTCGTGACACAGTAATGTCCAAGCAGTATCTGAAGAAAAACTAATTCCACTGTCTTGTATTTTTAACTTAAGACATAATCCTTACATTTGATACAGCACCTTATCGTGTCGTTGAGCACTTCACAGAATATACTATAAAATTAATTGACTATATTTTGTGGGCGAAACGCAGCAGCCATTTGCACACATTAATATTTTTTGTTCTGCACTTATTCTTTCCTTGTAATGAAAGTGGAGATTAAAGGCATTATTGAACAATGGGAAATAAAAACACACAATGCTTTGATTTATTGCTGAGTAAGAATAGTAACCCGCATATTGCAATAATTATAAAACTAATAAATAAGAAGTACATGAACAGAAGGACACAATGCAATCATTTTGTCTTACGTCAGACACAGGTACACTTGCTCCCCAATATGTAAACGTGTTGAAAACATGGGTGTGTCTTGAATGCAAAACAACAATCCAGATTTAGCTTCTAAGACTTAGGTACCTAATGCCTTCATTTTGTGAGCTAAGCTGAATTCCAGTAACCATGCTGTATGTTTAAAGCCATGCAGAGATGGGTTTTAAAAGTTCTGTTATCATTTCCAACTATATAAACAGTGGTCAGGCTAACTTAATTAAGAATGAATACTTTTTGGTACTTAGTGAAAGTAACTGACTGGTTAAACTGAGATCCTATTGGTACGCTTCATTTTCCCTTTTAGGTTTTCTTCCAGGAAGATACTATTTATATGGCGTTGACGATATCCAACTGCCTTAAGGAAGAAAAGAAAATTCTAGACAATGCTCAGAAAGCTGAACAGGTGCTTGAGTTTTCCATGCTTCTATTTTGATTTTACAAAATAACACACAGGCACACCAATGCTAAAATGCTTTGTGTACCAGTTTTATCTTTTGTTCATAACTATAAATGATGGATTTGTTTTAAAATACAGATTTTGTATGTTGTTATTCTACCTGTGGATGTGTGCGGTTCAGTTTTTTTACAAAAAAACTCAGTTTGGTAGTAAATGTTTGTGTTTGGGCGGAATAGTTCATCAGAATTTTTGGGGGAAGGAAATCATTCCTATCAATTTTTTTTTACTGACTGTTCAATATGTAACTAAATGTGGAGTTTCTCTTTTCATGTGTAGAACCACATTGGTCATATCCAGAACACTGTTATCCAGGATAAACAAAAGAAGCTTGACCAGAAAGTGAGAAACGTGAAGACTGGCGTCCAGGTATGCAGAGGAAGTATTTACAGATATTTTATGCGGTCATGAAGTGCGTTGTTATAGTTTTATGCTAAGTCTCTGGCTTTATTTGGTGTACAGTTATATTAATAATCGATTTAACTTAAACATGTCTATCTTTTCCATTGAAGCATATTCCATTGTTTTATTTTAGTGGCTTGCATTAAATCAGTCGGGGGCAGTTTGCTAGATTACATTTAAGGCAGGAGATTTTTTTAACAGGTTCAGCTTGTTCTCAGTACCGATGTTTGCCTTTGTGACTGTAGGAAATTGAACAGGAAATCAAATCTCTTGAAGATCTTCAGGATGAATTTGACTTCAGATCCAAAACGCTGCAGAGTCGAGGTAAAGTGGTGATATCATTTTCAACACATGCATTGACTGAAGGAACCTCACAGTTCTCAAATACAATAATGTTTAAAATAGACAATGTGCGTAAAATAGGCTTTTACAAACTGAAATTTTATTGATGACAACAGTAACAAATTGTATATACGCAGCTCCTTTCATTTTGGGAGGAGGTCCCAAGGTATTGGACAATTGAGGGTTTGCACCCAAGCTAGGGCTTGGATTCGGGAGGGGTAGGGGCCAGTAATGGTGGGGGAGGGAAGATGACCAAAGATGTGGTCAAGAAGGAAGGTCTTGAGATGGACCTTGAAGCAGGTGAGGGAAGGGGTGAGGCACAATGCTTCTAGGGTAGAGTTCCAGATAGTTTAGATTATCCTGTGTTGCTTATTATGAAATTTTCTTTATTTACTCATTTTCAAATGTTAAATGTATTTGCCTTGTGTGTGTATTTAGAAACGTGTATGTCATTAATTGGTGTTTCACTTTGATAGAGTTGGAAGTGAACGGCTTGGCTCAAAATGAGATTAAACAAGAAAAGCTTCAAATCCACAACATGAAGTTGACTCTGGATAAGAAACGAAAGGTAGTGAATGATTTATTGATGTGATCATTACCAGTGTTTGGCTATTTGTAGAAATACTTTACCAAGGCAGAATGGTAGCCTTTTCCTAGAGTAATTCCCAGTTTTGTGGGGGAGAATCTCACTCTCTGGTGAGTTGAAAGAAACGCCTGCAGTGGTTTGGAAAATAACTTTTCCAGACAACTCTGAGTTACAATATCTAATTTTGTTTTAAATCCTTACAATTTTTATATTGCGACCTTCACGTTGGAAGGATGTCTCAAATTGCTTTCACAGTACATGCTGTAAAGTGTAAAGAATGTGTATTTTGTGTTATCTGTGAAAGATCAGATGATAAAAGGTTCCAAATGTTCTCTTCATGTTTCTAATATTTCACTTTTTGCATTCAGTTTAAATGTTGCCCATTTGCTGGGTGTCAGAATCTCCTTGACTAAGATCTGGCAACCTCTGAGAAGTGATGTGTCATGTCTCGGTGTTTTGTGTACAGCTCCAAGTACCTGTACGTTTCAAGTCAGCTCTGTATTCATATCAGCTTTACAAATCAGTCATAGCGTGAATACAGAGATGACCTGAAGTGTAGAGGTACTGCCATTCATTCTGAATGGCACAAGTGAGAAGATGCCTTATGACCCCCTCCCCCCACCTTTTTTTTGCAGTGAATTGCTGTGAACATTTCAGTGTAAAACCCAGTGTAAAGTCCAACTTGTTAACTGACTGCCCTGCCGCATTCTTTCAATTATTAGGAAGTGATCAACAAAACCGCTTGTCTCCTGAATGAAACGGAACAGATTAATGGCATTCTGATCAACGAAGAACTATTGGAATGGAAACGTCGGCAGCAGATTGCTTGCATCGGAGGACCTCCAAACACTTGTCTTGACCAGCTCCAGAACTGGTGGGTTTTCACACCCTTTCTAATCCACCACAGTAAACTTCACAGAAGCTGTATTAGTTAGGACTATACATTTAATATGACTTCTGAAAAGTATGAGTTATGCCAAAACGTGCATAGGATAGAAACACTTAAACCGTGCAGATGTACGACTTGGGCGATTATACGATTTATTCAGGTCAGATTTATGCGAGTATTACCGTATAATGTTTCGCATAATACTTCCACGTGGAGGTACCATTAAATGTCACACTGCAGTGCTTCTGTCAGGAATTTATTCAGACATACATTGAAGGTCACATACAAAAACTTGGATAAATGCATTAATCACTTGAAAGATTTATTTGTATCGACAAATAATATCCAATCCATTACATCTCGCCTGAGTGTGTGCGTGTATCTATCTTTAAGGGTATGTAACATGCATATCACGCACGACTGTTTGTGGGACATTGCTGTGCGCAATTGGCTGCCGCGTTTCACCCACAAATATACAGTCAATTCACTTTACAGTCTATTCTGTGAAGCGCTTTGAGACGTCTGGAAAACGTGAAAAGCGCTATATCAAATGTGAGGATTATTATTATTATATATCAGATGTGAATACTTCTGATCAGCTTAGAATAGTTTGCCAATAACAAACCTTGATGACAAAACGGGTTAGTTTGCCACTGTTTATTGCTTCATAACTAGCACATTGATGAAAACTAACAGTGTTCACACGCAGCAAAATCGTGAACAAACTGGGCCAAGCAAGTAAACAGAGGGGAAGAGGCTAAAGATTATAAAGTGATCAAGGATGGAATGTTGATCGAGATTTAAGCGCTTTGAGATGTCCTCCTGATATGAAAGGCACTTAAACGTGTATTAGGACTTTTAAATCTTTGTTCTGAATTTAGGTGTTTTATCCCTGCAGGTTCACACTGGTGGCTGAGAGTCTGCAGCAGGTTCGACAGCAGCTGAAAAAGCTGGAAGAATTGGAGCAGAAATATTCGTACGAAGGAGACCCCATCACCCAAAACAAGCAGTTCCTAGAGGAACGAAACAACAACTTGTTCTGCAACCTTATTGTGAGGTATATGTTTAAATAAATAACAATAATAAACATGGAAATCGTTGAAAGTGAATGTTTAGACAAAGCAGGAATGAGGCAAAAAAAAATAACACGGGGAAAGGAGAAACCGAGTGGTGATGAACATGAACCTGACACTTAGTACCACAGAGAATGTCAGATGTAGATTCAAGTCCTCTCCTGAGCTGCTTCATCCTGGAAGCGAATAGTCAGAGGTTGCAGCTTCCAGAACCAGTGGTAAATCTATGGAACAGGCTCTCAGGGAACTGGTGGAAGCAGAAAGTGTTGATTCTTTCAAATGAAAATTAGATAGATTTCAACAACAACAAAATTACAGTTATAGAGCGCCTTTCACGTCGGGAGGACGTCCCAAAGTGCTGAACAGTCAGGTGTTGGGACCCGAGCATGGGGGAGGGGTGGTATAGGGGTGAGGGGAGGCAGAGAGGTGGGAGGGGGACCAAAGGCACGATCGAAGAGAAGGGTCTTGAGACCGGCTTTGAAGGAGGCAAGGGAGGAAGCGAGGCGAAGGGACCATGGGATGGAGTTTCAGAGAATACCCGAGCTGCAGAATTTGGGATGATCTGCAGCCTGTGAAGGGAAGAGATGGGAGGGCCGATGAGGGGGGAGTTTCCATAATTGAGCCTTGATGTTTCCTTTAGGAAATACTATCTTGAGATCCAGTGTATAATGTATGTATGCAACTGCCAGCAAGATGGAAGGTGAACTGGGTGGGCCTTGGTCTTTTTTTGTCTAGCATTTCCTATGTTCCTTCTCCCACACACACTATCCTCCAGAGTGAGGATACACTTTTTAGTGCAAACTTTAGCAAGTTTCTTTGTCTATTTTTGAAGGAGCACCGTAAGTAACTTCTCCGACCAATTGTTCATAAATTAGTTGCAGCCTGTTGTGTCAGATAGAAAACACCTAGGATTAGTTTTTAAAGGGATTTTGTTGTTGTTGTGCACAGCCTTGGTTGGAATGCCTGTTACTGTGATCTTGCATGTTCCACTTCATTCACTGTCTGCTCATTTTTAGTTCCTTTGTGGTAGAGAGGCAGCCTTGCATGCCCACCCACCCCCAGAGGCCGATGGTCCTGAAGACCGGCGTCCAGTTCACTGTGAAGCTCAGGTGAGTGATTATTTGTGATTAGGTTATAAGAATTTCCTATTCTCCACACTTAGAAATTGGGCAGCTCAGTAGAACCTTAGGAGGTCCTGCTGTTTGACAGATTATTAGTAATTACTTCTGGAGAGAATGTTTGGAGTTTTTGTCCTATTAATGCATCTTCTCCATTTTGTTTTCATAGACTCCTGGTCAGGCTCCCCGAGCTAAACTATCAGTTGCGGGTGAAGGCGTTATTTGACAAGTAAGTGAAGTCATCCTAATAAAGTTGTGCCTCTGTATGCTTGATCTGAACTTTGTAGTAATTCAGTGTGAAGTGATTTTCAAACAAATGCAAATCTTCCAGTTTGGTCAGTGCTGTGTCTTTTTTAATTAGGATGAAGTGAAACTTATTTTTGTTACTTTCTAGTAGATTATCACCAATTCTGTTCCTCTTATTTACTTGTGAGCTGTGATATTTTGAAAGTTTAATGAAGTTTAATTTCTTTTCAGGGATGTCACTGAAAAGTGTTCGGGAAAGGGGTATGTCATTTACTTCTCGACTGAAATCAGTTTTCCCCTCATAGATTTTTTTTGTTTTTGACTTTCACCCAAAAATGTTTTAACACTTCTTCTGATTTCCATCCTCTGTTCAGATTTAGAAAATTTAACATACTTGGGACAAACACAAAGGTCATGAACATGGAGGAATCAACTAATGGAAGTTTGGCTGCAGAGTTCCGACATCTGGTAAGTAACGTGCTGTGAAGTAGAGTTTTGATCAGCCTCTTATGCATGTTCTGGTGGAATCTCTACTAACATGCAGTAACATTGCTGAAATGGTAGGCATTCAAATAAAAATTTGTTTAATGCAATATCCTGTTCCAATATTTACAGCAACTGAAGGAGCAGAAAAATGCAGGCACCAGAACGACTGAAGTAAGTGTAACACCACAGCCAAGTGCATTCCTCGAGCTTTCCATTCATTGTGAAATAACAGGTTACTGTGAATGTCCAGCTAAATGGATGTGTTTCTGTTTATTCAGGGCCCTCTCATTGTGACTGAGGAGCTTCACTCCATCAGCTTTGAGACTCAGTTCTGTCACCAAAACCAGATAATAGATCTTGAGGTAAGAGATTTGTCATTGCCTTGTTGAACTCGCATCAGCTCAGGGGCTCAAATCAAACTTAACTTAACAAAACAAACCATTGATGCAACATTTTAATAATTGGGTAATAAGCATAGTTCCAATTCATGTTTAAGGTGTTGAATAAGCATTAATCAACTGCAGTCACTGTATGCAGATTACATTAAAAAAAATTTAAGAGCATTCACAGACTCAGTCACCGTGAGCTGAAATCTGACTTAAAAAAAAGAATATTCTTAAAACAGGAGTTTAGGTAATAGTTGAAATGTATCTGAATCCCTCTTGTTGGACTGCAGGCTGGTGCCTCTCTGTCAGATATTCTTCAGTAATTTCCTAACGTGAGATGTTGTTTCTCTTGTTTCCCCAGACTACATCTCTCCCGTTGGTTGTCATCTCCAATGTTAGCCAGCTCCCCAATGGCTGGGCCTCTATTCTCTGGTACAACATGCTCGTAAGCGATTCCAAGGTACAGCTGCATAAATACCTTTCTGTCTTGACAGGACGAGTGTCTTTGTAATTGGTCACCATGTTGCGTTAGGTTAAGGCCACTTTATGTTTGCATCATGTCAAATCGCTACACAGTGGATTGTCGACTGTTTGTAAATCGTTGTGATTTGGCCAAATTTGTGTGACTTGAAACGACGAGAAAAAGTCAAAGCTGGGCTGTTTGAAGCAGTTACGTTTAATGTATTTTTAATCCTTTTACAAAGCGGGGTTAAATCAAAGAAAGTCCCATCTCCCTCTCCGTCTATGCTCTAAACCAGCATTCAGCTTGTACACCTATAAAAAGATTGCAGCTCGCACATGTAATTATTTACAGTGTTTGGGGAAAAATTTGGAAACCGTTGAACGCGATAAAAATACTTGTGGGGAGAAAATCCAAATAGTAAGCTCCCTTTATATAATCAATCAGAAAGGGAACAGTAATTAAATGTCAAATTGTTTTCTTCATTCCCAGAACTTGGCATTTTTCAACAACCCCCCAGTTGCCAAGTGGAGTCAGCTGTCTGAGGTACTGAGCTGGCAGTTCTCCTCGGTCACCAAGAGAGGCCTTAGCGTCGAACAGCTCAGTATGCTGGGCGAGAAATTGCTAGGTAAGGATCGTACAGATGGTCGCTGTGTGGGAGGAAACAGGTGCTCCACATCACTCAGCCCATTTCTGTCTGGCTGGACTTACCCTGGTGCTTTTTATATGTGATGAAACACTTCAAAAGGGATCCATGTTTTTAGAGATGAGTGTTTTCTGTAATACACTCCAGAATACACAGACCCAGAGGGGACTGCTGACTGGGCCTTTCTCCCAGAATGATTCATCTCCTGACCATGATTTAGGGAACCATGATAAGTGGAGGCCTGTGGCTTAGTGGTTAGAGCACTTGCTTCACGACCGGTCAGGGCGAATTGTTGAGTAAGTTTCTTTACTCCACACGCCTCTCTTAACCCAGGAGTAAGTAGGAACCCGGTTGTTAGTCGATTGGCAGACCCCTTTTCCAGGAGTAATAATCCCTTCAAAAAAAGTAGTAATAATTTGGTCACTCAATCCTTGTTTGTGGGACACTGCTGTGCGCAATTGGCTGCCGGTGTTTCACCCACAAAATATGCAGTTGATTCACTTTACAGTATATTCTTTGAAGTACTTTGAGACGTGATATTATTATTAACCAGTGAACCAAAACTTCCCACTCACTGCAGGATTTAATGTTGATGAAGAGGCTCCTCCTCAATTGCAGTCACTACACTTGACATGCCCACGTCTATTATAATCTATATTGTATGATGTATAGTGTTTTTTGTTCTTGTATATCATACAGTGCAGAGGGTTCTGCGAATGCAGCAGCTCTTAAAGCAGTAACATTTCCTCACCGTGTCTTAAAACATGGACCATCATTTTAACTTGTGACATTGCTCTGCCATTCATCAGGTCTGAATAACTGCTTCAATGATAATGGGATTCCATGGACAAGATTCTGCAAGGCAAGTGACTCAATTCCAAACCAAAGCTATCACCTTTTGACTTGAATTTTAAATAAAACACTGTTTCTTCCTCTCCCTGCCCTACATCCTTAGATTCTGTGACTTTTTTTCAGGAGAATCTAAATGAAAAACCTTTCTCATTCTGGCTCTGGATCGAAGGGATTTTAGAATTGATTAAAAAACATCTTCTTCCTCTCTGGAATGATGGGTTAGTAATAAATCAATGTCTGATCTGATTTTAAACCTTTCAATAACCTTGTGAATGGAGATGTGATTTTTTTTTGAGTGCTGTTGAGGAGCTTGTGCGGCATGGAACCTTCCCACTCAGCTCCTCTTATCCCTGCAAGGCAAAGCGCTAATGGTTAGTGTGGTCAAGTGGTAGGAAGTTGCCAGACAGTACTTTCAATGACGAGCTATGTGATATTTTTAGACTCCAGCAATATGGCAACGCACACTTTAGGTTCCCCAAGCTTTGGTTGACACCAACCTGTGCCTAATACTCTTTGCAATTAGGTAAGCAGGGTGCATCCAACATTTGACTTGACCAAAAAAAATTATAGCAATGACCTCGGAAACTTCTGTTTGTGAGGTGCCATTTGAGACATTCTGAGTGTTCACTGCATGCAATAACTGAGGGGTGAATTTGTTGAGCTGAAAGAGGGTGGGAAATAAAATGCTTTATTTTACTAATTTCAGCTGTATCATGGGGTTCGTAAGTAAGGAGAAGGAGCGAACTTTGCTGAAGGACAGAAACCCGGGAACCTTTTTACTGAGGTTCAGTGAGAGCAGCAGAGAAGGTGCCATCACGTTTACCTGGGTGGAGAAGTCACCAACTGGTGAGTGAGTGGATTAGACTTTCATAGGTAATCTGAAAAGAGGATTTACTGATTAAGTGGGGGGGCGCACGCACTTTCTGGCCAGACATTTTACATCACAGCTGTTGTGGTCCTTTGCTGTGGGTAAAATGGTTTAGGCTTTTTGGCTACAAAAAATCTTTTCTTTCTGGCTTATTCATTAAATGACCCTCACGATGTAGCAGATGTAATAGACTCATATCTTTCTGCTCTCTATGTCTGAGAGCCTGGTGAGTGATCTACTTGTTGCCTTTTACCATTTGCTGATCTGAACTGCCCAGTATGAGACACCGATTCCCTTCAGCTCCACAGCTGTGACTGCAAAGTCAATGTCAAACAAGCAATTGGCTGCCGTGTTTTGTCCAGAAAATAAACAGTCAATTCCCTTTACAGTAAATTCTGTGAAGCGCTTTGAAGACGTGATAAAGCGCTGTATCAAATGTAAGGATTAATGTTGTTAGGTTAGCACGTTGAATTTGAAAACTCTTGCTATTTTTGTGGCCTTTTCGTATCTTACTCCGTGTCCCATCCTTTTCAGATGAGTCTCAGTTTCATTCGGTGGAACCGTACACAAAGCATCAATTATCCGCAGTTACCTTCCCAGACATCGTTCGGAATTACAAAGTCATGGCAGCCGAGAACATTCCGGAAAATCCACTGAAGTACCTGTACCCTGATCACCCCAAAGATCAGGCATTTGGAAAGTATTACTCCAGACCAAAAGATCGTAAGTACAATAACTACAGAATCAGAACAATTCACAATTACTGTTTGTCTTTAGTAATTGAAGATTTTTGGCCTTTGTGTAGCATTTTGATATAAATTTTGGTGTTGCAATTAAGAAGCTTCATAAATTTCATCAAGACATTTTATTTTCAGGGGAAAGACACCATATCATTGCAAGTTAGCATTGAAAGTGGTGGAATTGGGGCTCACCTGATAACGTACAGGGTTAAACGTAAAATAATGTAAAAACAGGGTCCAAAGAACATACTTTCATCACTTGCTCAAGAAGTGTAGACTTGCTTCTAGTGCTATTCAGATCCAAAATTGGCACAAGTGGTTTACATTTTTTGTTCGGTTATTATCAACTTGAGTTGTTTTTCTGGAATTTTTTTTAAAACTTAAAAAAAAAAGAATTTCCTCCAGCTAATGGTAACACACTCAGCTTGGATGTTGCAAGCCCGGAATATCTGTCACTGTTATAGTTGTTTGGAAATACTTTCTGTGTTTTTTCTGCATGACATTTGGTATTGTTTGAGCCTGTGAAGGACTACTTAATGGGACTGAGCCTCCTCTGATAAATCTTCAATTAAAGCAATGTAGAACTGTGTAACCTTAATTTGAATGGAATTCAAATACCCATTGCCATTAAAATGCATTTTAGACCTTGCATAGAAAGGTTTGGTGCAGATATTGGGCAGTAGCTTGTGGTAAGCTCTTCCGCACTGCCCTGGTCAAAATCACTAATGACATTCTGAACATCTGTGATCAGGGCTCCCTCTGCCTCCTTGTCCTCCTTGACCTCTCTGCCACTGTCGACCACTCCATCCTCATACACTGCCTCTCTGCTTTACTTGTTGCCTCTAACGGTTTCTCCTCCAGCCCCCGCACTGTCACATCTGGTGTCCCCCAGAGCTCTGTCCTTGCCCCTCTCTTTAATATCTACATGCTTCCCCTTGGTGACATCATCCGCAGACATGGGGTCAACTTCCACATGTATGTGGATGACACCCAACTCTATCTTTCTGCCTCCACCCTCAACTCCCGGATCACTGCTGTCCTGACAGACTGCCTGTCGGACATCAAGTCCTGGATGAGGGCAAATTTCCTACAGTTGAATGTGAACAAGACTGAGGCCCTCCTGATTGGCTCACACCAGCGCCTCTGCACCTCAGGCTCTGGTAACATCAACCTCCATGGTTACACACTACAACTCACCAGCCAGACAGGAACCTAGGTGTCTTGTTCGACCCTCAACTGTCTTTTCTTCCCCCCATCCAAGCCATGACCCGCTCTGCCTTCCTTCACCTCCATAACATCACCCGACTCCGCTACTACCTCACCTCTCAGACCGCTGAAACTCTTGTTCATGCCTTCATCACCTCCAGGCTCGACTATGCAAATGCCCTGCTTGTCAGCCTTCCCAACTCCTCCCTCCACAGGCTGCAGATAATCCAGAACTCTGCAATCCGTGTTCTCTCCCGCACCAAACTCTGTGACCCCATCTCCCCCACTCTCGCCCGACTCCATTGGCTCCCCATCCTTCAGAGGATCCAGTTCAAGATCCTGGTCCTCACCTACAAAGCCCTCCATGGCCTCGCCCCACCCTACTTCTACGACCTCCTAACCCCTTACCAACCCGCCCGTTCCCTCCGCTCAGCCGGTTCTGGCCTGCTTCTCAACCCACCCGCCCCACCATTGGCGGGAGAGCCTTCAGCCACTCTACCCCCAACCTCTGGAATTACATCCCCCAGTCACTCCGCCTCGGCCCCTCCTTAGCCTCCTTCAAGTCCTGCCTCAAGACCCTCCTCTTCGACCATGCCATCAGCCAACCCCCTTCCCCCAACCCCAGGTCTGAAATGCCGTACTCTGTCCAGCGCCTTGGGACGTCCTCCCGACATGAAAGGCGCTATACAAGTGTAATCTTGTTGTCGTTGTAGGTTGGAGGCGTGACTGAGTAATTAGGAAACCGAATTGGCACAATCAGAATTATGTAACAAAGAAGCATTCAATAAATGTATTGCCATGGTTATTCTTAAAGGTGAATTGAGCTAACAAGCTCCTTTTAGGGCTTTGCAGTCTTGCACAGAGGGGGCAAGAGACTGCCAGTTTCTCAGGCCTCTCTGCCTGTTACTGGTGCTGCCTTCATTCAGAACTCCGTCAGATTTTAGGTGAAGCCACTAGAGGGAGCCCCAGTCTATGTAGAGATGTATAAAAGCAGAAAAGTTTGTGTTAAGAGGGAAAGAAAGATATCAGACAATATCTTTTGTCCTCCACCTCCAAATTCTTGCTGCTGTGTCCGAGGGTGCCAGTGTGTCCTGCTCTACACTGTACAATGGTGATATTCAGTGTCAAAGCCTCGTGTGATGGGAAGCCGGGAAAACTTGCCTTGGGAGACAAACATAAGTTGAAGTCACCTCTGAGTCCTTGTTGTTTGCTTCCTCCTTAGCTGCAGAGCCTATGGATGTGGATGATTCCAAGACCAGTGGTTACATAAAGACTGCACTCATTTCAGTGTCTGAAGTGTAAGTAATACTTGGCAACTCAACTTGAACTCCTTCAATATGGTGCTGGGATGGGTCACTTCACCAGTTCATTATAATAGCTATTAAATCAATCACACAACTCACTGACAGAAACATATGTGCTATAAATTGTATTTTCTCTGGCTGCTGGGCGCAGGAGTGCTTAAGGAACTTCAGAATTTGGGCCACGATTCTTAATAAATAGATGACTGTGATTTCTGCCAGTCAGAGTGATCCTGTTAAGGCCATCCTGTTTCATAACTGTTCAGGCTATCCTGTTTCACAACCCGGCATGCGAACAGAACAGAAAGGAAAAGCGGTGGGTTAAAGGGAACAATGCTGCATAACGCAAGTTAGTGTCAGCATTGCTATGAGTAATCCTATTGTGAACAGTAATAAAGGCAGAATTTCTTTGAAGTCAATGTCCTTTCAATAGCTTCAAAATAAAGGGAAATTAAAGTTTCTGGTGGCTGAGCCACACAGACTGGTTCAAGGTTTGATTTCCCAGAGATTGCTAAGATGTCTGATCACAGCGAGGAGCTCAATCTGACCTCCTCACTACTGCTCTGGGAGAATTAGTCAAGAGTTCCTGGTCATTGTTCAGGGACCCACTTGCAAGAGTTGTCTGTGGCTGCTGTTTCGGAACAGGATTGAACTCACCTTTAGGAGACCAGTGTGGAGGAGGAAAGGAAATAAACTGGAAGTAAACTGATTCCCAATTCAGTCTTGCCGTTGCCAGCTTCAGAGGTTTGCATTTTCACATGCAAACTGATGACAAATTTATGGGTGGTTGATACGGGGCTGATCTCAGAGCAGGTAGAGATGCAAAAGTAAACCTTGAACCAAAAGAGGTCTGAGACGCATAGGACTAAGATTGCTTTGTTTAATTTAACCTGTAATTTTTAAACTGAGATAGGAATATGCTTTTTTTTTGGTCCAAGTCTCCTCCAAATTCTCACCTTTTTACGTGAAATGTTTTCTTAGTTCACTTATAAACTTCAAATTAGACATTCAGATTATCATAGTACATTGTGGAATAAAACTCATCTTTATCATTTGTTGTTAAGTCACCCATCTAGGCTGCAGTCAACAGAAAATCTTCTACCTATGTCCCCAGAAGAGTATGGTGAACTCGAACGTCAACTGAGTCCATCTGAAATGGACACAGTGGTAAGTCTTGAAATTTCTATGTAGGGCTGCTTAGGATTTGCAGCACAATACATTAAATGTAACTCAATGTAGAGACATGACTCAATATGATCATGGGTGTAGTAGCAATTCAGGTACGACATGTTAACCAGAAAATTGTAATAAAAAATCCTTGCCTTTGAAATGGTGCCCACAATCATCAACAAAAGTGCTTCAGTCTTTTCTCTGACATGTGCTGTCTGTGTAGCTGTGGGCTATTTGTTGATTCTGCATTAGTAAAATATTAAAGTACGGAGTATACATTGGGAATAAAGGACATGAAGGTGTATGAGTAGAGGAACAAGAGCAGCACTTGAATTTTAAAGCAATTAATACAACAGTCCAGATCTTTTGAAACTACTCTTATTTATTGAGACCAGTCATGTCCATGAATGTGGAGTCAAATTTGATGCATTCCTTCATTAGCTTGGTTGCTGAAGAGAATAAGGAAGGCTCTTATTTATTAACACTCTCCTCAGTGTAGCAGTGAAAAAATCTCCAATAACACCTTACCTGATGCTGATCCATACTGGAGAAAGATTCCATGGTTGCTCAGTCTTCAGAGTCAACCTTCGCAAATTGTATCTACCTTGTAAACTGGAAAATAATCTGTTTCAGTGACATCCCCATTGAAATAAAACCCATTGCCTGCAAATTGCAACATTATAGCTAATATTTGGGTTAAATGGAATTGTATGTTAGAGCTCCACGTAAAATCAATTTATATCCTTAAATTTCTTCTCCTTTCCCGACAATCGAATGAAAACTGAATAATTTCCCTGTTCCCGAACCCTGAACTTCATAGTAACCCGCGCTGGCATCCAATACATTTCAAATTAACGAAAAAAAATATAGAACAAATTGAATTGAGGGGCAGTTTATCATTGAGCAAAATTCTGCTTTAGTTCTGGTATCATTATTACTTGGCTGCAGGTTAGGGTGCAGATTAAATTGAACTGTGTTTGATTTTGCTTCTCAATTTTTTTTACAGTATACAATGTATTGCAATAGCCTTTACAAACTTTTCTTTGTTTCAAACAGATGTGCTCATATTCAAATTAACTGAATCCTTCACCTCCACGGTTCTACACCTCAAAGCCTCATCATTTTATTTAACGTATGACACTGATTTGGTGTCACTTGTCCAAAGCTGATCTTGCTGTATTGTAAATATGAATTTGTTTTTGGTATAAATGTTATATGTGGCTTGGTAGTATCAGCAGCCGCTACTTTGTAATGTTTTAGTTACACAAATTTTTGGACAAAAAAATCTACAATCTTTTTTTAATACTGTATTAAGCCTCTACCATGATGCAATATGTCTGGCTGCAATACAATCAGGTAATGTGTACACTTCTCCTATGATTTAACTAAAGCAACACACATTTTGTTAAATATTTGGTATGAATTTGTTTAAACCACTCTGACTTTTCTCTGAGTCAAGAGAAATAAATCTCACAGGCAACTAGGATTTATAACACCAGCTGTGAACTGTATAACTTGCCTTATTATTTAATTTCTTTACTGGGTGATAGTCATGGCCTTTTTAAAACATTTAGTATTGAAGTGATACATGTTAGCTTTTGGAGATGATTTTTCAATGAAGCAAATATTTTGCAAAGCAATTATGGAAATACCTTAAAACCTATTGCTATTACTGATCTGAAAGTGATGACTGCTCTTGGAAATGCTTATTGCAACTTTGTATTGTTTGAAATGAAGTATAATTATAAATAAACTTGTTACAGAATGCATAGTGCCAGATGATTTCATCTTCAACATCCTCCCGACCTGAAAGATACTATACAAATGTAATTTTGTTGTTGTACAACACTCAAAAAGAGTGCGAAAATGGCAAACTGGTTGTAAGCTCACCCACTGATGGGGGTGTGTTTGGGACTTAAAGCAGGAACGTTATCTCATTCTTTTCCCCCCTTTCACACACACACACACGCAAGAACAGTATAATTTCTTAATCTGTTTTTATTGTATACATTTTGTACCTGGTTTTCTATATCTAGTAGATAAATACTTTGCATTGCCAGCAACACTTACAAGTTACATTTCAGATAGGAAATATGCAGCAGTACACAGGAAAAATTGATTGCCATTACCAAGTACATTCAGCATTGTCACTCCACAGCTTAGAAAGAGATATATATATATACACACGCAAACACGTGTGTGTATGTATATATATATATATATATATATATAAATATGTGCGTGCGTGCGTCAATACCGAGAAACACAATTACAGCCAGAGATCATACACTAGCTTAAATATGAGGCTAATCTTGCCCCTGGATTGAGCAAACGTATATCTTTGAGCTTTGACTTTTTACGCCAGAGAAGCAACTCGTACAGTGTGCAATTGCAATAAAATAGTTTTTTTTAAAAAAAAAACAGGTCGAGAACAAAACCCACATTGCTGCAATCCTGGAATCTTTCCAAAAAGATCCAAAGCACATACCTCAAACAAATGCCGGCAGCTCAGTCTTACAGCACACACAACATAAATTAATGTTTGCTTTAAAGAGCTGGTGTCACTTTCCAGGGATGCAAATGTGGCTTTTGAAAAACATAGTTCCCGAAACCTTATGAAGCCAAAATGGACCAGTGTTCGGAATTACCAACATAATTAAGATATTGAAAGGCTCGTCAAGAATGTAACAAAATTCATCTGCATTTCCAACAAAATCCCATTATGTAGCAAATGTAACAATGTAATTGAGACCATACTAGCGGTGTGTGCAGATAAAATACAATCTGCAGCCATACATTCAGAATACTGTTTCCATACTGCATGAAAATTGAACGTGATCTGATAAACTGTATTTACAGCCATCAAACTACAATCAACTTGATTTATTGCCCTTAGGATTATATAAATGAGCTGTTTTTTGGTGTCATTTAGATACTGTTGATCTTGAGCAGGTGCTGAATTCACAGACCATAAGACAAAGTCAAAACCTTGTACTGTTACTTATCACGGAGGCACAGGCATGATGACATGAATCTGTCCTCAAATAAACAAACGTCTTCAACTAAAACTTTAACCAATAAAAAAAAACTTTGATTCTGAAAGTCCATTAAAACACTCTTGACAAGTCATTTAACCTGCCTACAGTCAGGTCCCTTTGTAATAGTACATTAGTCCTAAAACTGACATATGGATGTCTACTTTCAAAAACTAGTAAAACCTCAAGTGCATTCACATTGTCACAATGCAGATTTTGTATGAATCCGATCAGCGGAACCTTGTTTTGTCACTGAATCATTTGCATCCCTTTGTAACATTTACTTACAAACATTTACAGTAACGAAAGACAGCAGCTTCGGTTCAGTGGATCTTGATACAAAGCAGGAAAAAGAACAAGTCGTTACTGGAGAGGGAGGGGTCAAAGAAATCACATCTCATTCACTAAATGTTTTTTAAAAGAAAAGAAAATTAAGAAATGAAATGGGCAGCTCCATAACCATGATATATAACTACTGCAGAGCAACACAAGTAACCGTTTTTGAACTACTGAAAGCAATACAAGCTTAGTTCTTAGTGACAATACTACAGTAGTACTGGGCTTGCATTAGTGATTACCGATAAACCCACTGAGAACCTTTACTCAGCCAATTCATCGCTGTAGCTTTTTAAACTAATGAAACAGTAATTCAGGTTCCAGTGCCGGCAGTGAGTCATTTTCTAACGCACGCACTCACCCACCTCTAACACTATCTGGTACTAATTCTATATTTTTCACAGGAAGCTTCCCGATACGTCGGATATCACGGAAAACTTTCCTTACGTGGTTTCTAAATCTGGACATTTTTTCACTACTTCAGAACGGCTAAGGTGTCTGACTGATTTCAACTGTTACCTATAGTGTGGGTACCATTTCCTGGACTCCATGGCTACTTTATAATGGACACACAGACCCCGAAATGCAGAAATCACGCTGCTATTACACAATCATTCTCAATGCACGAAATTCATGCTAAGGGAATCTGGGTCAGAAGTCAGGCTCCTGCATGAACGCCAACATGAACGCCAGCATGAACGCCATGAACTTTTTGTTGTGTCCAGACCTAATATTACCTTAAGACAATAGCAAAGGTCAAGTCGAAAACACGATAAAGCTACTTGCCAAAATTACAACACTGTTTTTATTTTACAAACGTCACTTCACAGTATGGTTTTGGTAAATTTGGAATACAAAATGCATCCGGAGTTAGAGACAGATCAACTATACCATGCTGTCTATGTTCTCCTGGGAGTGCTTTCCTTTTCCGTTGTTTGAGTCCTCTGGGTGCTTATAATTGTTCTGATACTCCTGAAGGATGGACACGACGTCATGGTGACCGAAGTGAATGGCCTCATCTAATGGAGTGTTGCCCCACCTGAAACCATAATAGAACACATTCCAGGAATGGCTACACAAGTGACAGATTACTGACACGTTTATATATACACACACACACAACGCATAATCAATCATGGATTGAGTGACCAAATTTTTATTATTTTTTTTGGAGGAATTATTATCTATCATAGGATGGAATTCCCCTTCATGGGGCTGTAAGGCCTTAAAGATAAACCTTGAAGCCTGAAAGGTTTTTCGTTTGAATATTGTGTAACGCTAAAGTCAATTCATCACTTTGCACTTCAACTAATTCAAACCACCATGTCCAGTTCTCTGAAACATTTTTCCCAAATCCCTTTGCCTTGAGCCTTGTCTTCCCATCCATAAAATATCTCTCTCTCTCTCTGTGCGTTTGGTCACATCCTCACTCGTCCTCCACCTTTCTCTCTTGTCTGAAGTTCCCCAATGACGTGATAAGGCACTAAATCAAATGCAAGGATTATTATTATTATTATCCTCATTATTATCATAATTGAAGCATTTCAATGGATTTGTCAGCGTGAAAAGTGCTCAAAAGAGCAAGTTGTCATGCCACAAGTGTACTTGGTGGAAAGTATTTTAATTTCAGCAAATTACCCATTTGGCCTCAGAATACTTCTAGACGTTTTCTAGACATAGACTTGTAGACGTAGACATTTGGTCACTCAATCCACGACTGTTTGTGGGACATTGCTGTGCACAATTGGCTGCCGTATTTCGCCCACAGACATACAGTCAGTTCACTTTACAGTATATTCTGTGAAGCGCTTTGAGACCATTGGAAGATGTGAAAAGCACTATATCAAATGGAAGGATTATTATCATTATAGATGTCGCAAATGTTGTTCAACCTACTCTAACCTTGTTAGGATTCTTCAATCTGCAGATCAGACCAAAGAAATCTCTACATAATCTCTTCCCTTTCTTTATTAGTGAGATTGCTGAGCAATCTGCTGAAGATTCACATTGTCATTGAATCTGTTCATCCGACTCACCTGTCCTTTGGGAAAGGGCTGACTTTGCAAGCTTCCAGCAAAAAGCGAATCACCTCCACGTGACCTGCGAGAGAGAAATAGGGAACTTACATCCTGAACCGTGAAAGCTGTTGTCACTTTAATGCATTAACATAGGTAGAGAGTGCCTGCAAGAACGCAATTGGCTGTTACCCTCTGCTGCCGCCACGTGCAATGCTGCTCTTGAGTCATAATCTCTCTGTTCCATGTCCATGGCAGACAAAGCAAATCTGCAATAAAGAACATTTTTTTAAAAAAATGAATCCATCTGAACATTTTCCTCTGAGCAATTAGACTAAACAAGCCTCTCAAGTCATCTACCCACCAGCAATATAATAATACATTCTCAAATGCAAGTAATATTAATTATGAAGTCTCCATACTCTTGTTGGTGTAACATTTAAGCGAGGGTGTTGTATCCAGTTACTGTCACTAGATGTCAGCTTGTTTTGCAAATACTGTACAGCAATTCCTTAGTACACTATTGAGTAACTGATATATAATAGCAGACATCTCAATCGGAATCACAATATTGTACTTCGAATTTAAAAGTACGGTTCCCATTTTCACTTAGCAGAATATACAGTTTAAATCAGACACAACTGAATCAAACAGGTTTAGTTTAAATCATACATTCCAATAAAAAAATAGTTTTAACCGAGGAACAGATTTTGAAACTATGCTAAGAAATGCATTGAGGTTTATTCCACTGGCATTAACGTCATTTCATTGAACTCAATCGTATCCTCTTGTTAGGAAATCTCTTCTTAAAAAATATTTTTCACAAATCAATAACTCCAACTCGCACATTTATGTGACCTAATTTGGAAGACATCATTCAGCTATTAAGAGCCAATATTTATTGTCCTGATAAATCAAACTCTATAATCTGGGCTTTAAATCCATCAAAAGCTGTTAAGCGCAAAGGACAAGTACTTAGCTCACTTCCTGTTTGGCTGCTTAAAGTCATTGCATCATTTTATGATTGTTGCCAAGATAATAATCACGAAACATAGCTTTACAGAAATTTTATAAAATAAAACATAAAAAATTCAACACAACAATGGTAATGCTAAATTTTATTAAACTGTTTCAGTATGTTTTTAGTTAAAACAGGAATGTTATACCTAACATTAAAACAAGATTGAAATGAATTGAGGGACAGCTGCCCACTGCCAGATAGACAGAACTTGTGGTTTTCCCATTGTTGGTAGATTTCATTAACGTTAATCATTATTAGTGAAAACAATATCTGATGAAGCTTTGAATATGTTGAACATACTGGACGAACATAAAGGACAAAAGATGGCCACAGTTAACATTATTCTGTGAAAATATGTGCAAACACAAACAAGTCTACATTCTAGCTCGACAGTATTGTGATAAGCACAGTGAACTAAAGAAAACAGCCTGTGGTGCAACATATTCTGGGGTGATCTTACCTCCTGAGAGCAGATACATCTCCTGTATATGCAGCAAAGAGAAGGTTTATCACCGACTTCACCTAATGAGGTTTAAGAATGAATACGTAAGACACAGGGTGATTTGCATCCACAAACAACAATTTACACACATATAGCATGTTTCATACTGAGAGAACGTCTCATAGTTCATTACAAGTTGGAGCCCAAACCAGGATGGGTAGAGAGGGAGGTGTCTGACATGTAGGTCTTCTGGTAAGATTTGGAAGCAGAGAGGTGAGGGTGAAATGGAAGCATTTTGGGAGATAATTCCACAGTGAGAGGTAAAGTGGTTGTAGGCATCTCTGCTGATGGTTGGCAGTGGAGTGGACATGGAGGTGGGTGACGGGGAGAACTAGAAGCAAGTTGGAATAGATGGAGCCAGGCCAGGATGGGGATATTGGGCTTGAGGGAAGAGGGTAAGTGCAGCGAGGTTCTGTATAGTCTTGAGTTTGGGGATGGTGGAGCTGGGAAGGCCGGCTTTGGAAAGGACAAGACTGTAGGTGACAAAACCGTCGATGAGGATTTCAACTGTGTTGGGGGTGAGATAGTGATGGAGGCAGACAATGCTGCAAATTTGATGTGTTCTGCCTCATAGAACTCATGACAAGACTGAGTCCTAATATTTGCTCCCAAGTTTAGGTATGATTTGACATTAAGGTATAACAGCTCTAATATAATATGCAAGCAAAGATTCTTCCCCACCCGGTTCAGAACCAAATAAGATACTGTAGAAAGATGGTACTCATCTGCTATAATCAGGGAAACGTGGCAGCCAATTAGTGTGCCAGCAGTGTCATACAAATAGCCATAAAGCGAAAATTAAAAGGAATGGGGGAAAATAAAAGATTTCATTTTCTGTTAACAGAAAGCAGAAATGCATACAAGTTTCAGTCAGTTTATTGTCAGGTTGGGATTTAAAGACGGCTTCCAGCCCTGTTCCAGTACTGTCTCAATAGTGAGCATATCTGAGGAATGCCATCACCTCATAGCGTTTTTGACCATAGAGAAGAATGCATTTTCTCTTCCAACTCAGAGAATTATCAATCATCCAGCAACGCAAACAACCACAGCAATGCTAAGAAATGCATCGGTGGTGTGCTGATACACAGCTGTATCCATGTAAGATGTGTTGATGCAACAATCTAACCGATGATTATGTTTCTTAAGTGAATCAGAGTAAAGTGTTCAGCAAGGTACTATTAGTTTCATGCTGCCTTAACTTAAGCTGACGGGTACTAATACATTTCTTGAGGAAGGTAGGGAGTGAAATAGGTTATAATATCCATGATTTTGCTTGCTATGCCCATGCATTTATAAGTTGCCCATCCCAACATGAAAAAACGTACAATGAAAAGCCTTCAACAGCTGTGGTTTCAGAATGCGCTGTGCCAGCTCCTACATCAAAATTCGCTTTTCCTGTCTGGCTTAAAAACAAAGCTCCGCATTATCCCCAGGAATTTGAGTGGTTTCCCTGAATGCACGTCTGCACAAAAAGATGCCAAAATAACATTGAGGTAATAAAATTGCAATTTTTGTCTGTTTTTGTTCACCAACGATTAGTTTGTGTCCTGAAAATGCATATTATTTCAGCTCTTCTTTTTCTCTCCACATTTTTGTACACATCAGTTTCAAGTCCCCTCACCACACCCCCCATCCACCTCTCCCTTCAGTTATAACCCTGTGCCAATTCTTTCTCTAGCTTCTGCTTTCAATTTTCTCCCTTTTCACTTGTACGATAAATTACTGCATCTTTAAGGCATGGCTTGATCTTCCCACTTCTGTGTATCAGAATCCCCCCTCTCTGCAGTGGTACGTACGTATGAAAGCTAAAAGCGCTTGCAAAGATCATTAATAAGCATTGAGGTAACAGAAAACAGCCCAAAGTGCTATTTGTTTAGCAAATAGTATTCCAGCCTCTCCTGCCTATAGTGGGATTCTTGTGAAACTGAAAATCAAGCCATTTTTCTGCGCTGTGCGCACATTTTGCATACTGCCACGTCTAATCACCTGCAGCATCACCCTGGCTTTCCTTTAAAGAATCCTCTGAAGCTAAGCAGGGACAGTCGTCACGGATCCTTGTGACTCCATTGATCATTCCTCATATAATGCTATTAGGGTGGCTGACTTGCTGCAGACATTGTGGTCAACAATGCCCCCAAATAAAATTTGCCATTCACTTCATGGCTACTTGTAGGTTCTAGCTCTATACACATTGGCTGCTACCATTCACCCATAAATACAGTCACTACGCTTCACACTAAAATCCTGCAGAGCCCTTTGAGACAACGTGATAAGGTGCTATATCAAATGCAAGGATTATTATTTTATTGTTATTACACTGTTGTGGAAACACAATTCAAAACATTGAATGAAGTGGGAGCTCAGTGATCTACAGCTTTCACTTCAGATGATCTGGAGTCCATGTTTGTGACTGTTGAGAGCAGAGGATGAATTGCTCACCAGGTAATTCTGTAGGGAAAGCTGATTAGGTACAGCCTACACCCTGAAAACTTTCACTCTTACCTTTCCCATCGTCTCCACCTTATATCCACTAACAACTTCTCCTCCCACACTCGCACCATCATGGGGTTCCTGAGAGCTGTCCTTGGTCTTCTCCTCTTTAATGTTTATCTGCTCCCACTTGCTTGCATCTCCCGCTGCAGGACCACTGCTGTCCTGACAGGGTGTCTGACAGACATCAAGTCCTGGATGAGAGCCAGTGGCTAAAACCTTACCAACCAACTCGCTCTCTCCACTCGGCAGGCACTGGCTTGCTCCATGTCTCCCACGCTGACCACCCCACCATCAGCAGTGAAGCCTTAGGCCGTTCTGCTGCCACCCTCTGGCATTCCACCCCAGAATCCCTTCACCTCTCCCCCTACCTTGCTTCCTTCAAGGCCAATCTCAAGACTTTCCTCTTTTTACTGTGGCTTCAGTCATCCTCTCTCTCTCTCACACAAACACACACACACACCCTCCAACCCTCAATCACACCTCCAGCTCAGGTGCAAACTCTTGTCTGTCCAGCGCCTTGGGACGTCCTCCCGATGTGAAAGGCGCTATATAAATGCAATTTGTTGCTGTTGGAGTAAAGATAATCAAGAAATATATGAATCACTTCCCAGCCAGTGACATCAAAGGTCAAATTTCTTTAATTTCCTATTAATAGTCCATGTCCAAGACTTCTTATAACCAGAATAACATATGTAAAGCTTGAACTTTTAACCCATCTCTTTTAACCGTTGAGGCCTTTATCCGAAGCTGTTATAATAATCCTTGCATTTTGATATAGCGCCTTATTACATCTTCGAGATGTCTCAAAGCGCTTCACAGAATATGCCGTAAAGTGAATTGACTGTACATTTTGTGGAGAATCTAGGACAACCATTGATTCTCCTAGAAGAGCTGATCATAACATTGCTAAGAGCAGGTCTAAAAAGTATAAGAGAACAATGAATCTTTGTTGCATCCAGTCCCGTTTATCTTCTGAATCTCACTGTGAAGCCATGTCAATGTACATGCCATGATTGATGGATCGTATTGTGTCCAGGATCTGGAATGAAATCTGAGACATCTCAGATTCCTTATCTGTTGCAATTAAAGTAACCTAAAGGACAGGATGGGCAACCTACTTATTTCCATCTGAAAGACCGAGTTGCTCTCATATGATACGGTAGCAAGTAAGATTCCTTTGCAGATGTCCCTGTACATCATTTTATAACATCGAGCAGCAGGGCAGAGGATTTAGAGTTAAGGATTCTTTCAGAGTTAAAAGGATTAATTGCCCAAATGTAGTGGTCGGTGAACCTTAATAACTATATTGAGGTCTGACTGGCAACTAACAGGAGTTGTTGTAGTTGCAGAGATTTCTCTACGAGTAACCGGACGTGAACAACCAGAAGGAATTCCAGCAACTGCAGTCAGAGCTGATCAGAGTGCTGCACTTCTATTTGTTACTACTCTTTCAGATTGCAGCAGACGAGATTCCAATGTCTGTTGACAAATAGAAATTTCACAACAATGCTAGAGTTAACCCAACAGCCCAATGTGTCTGTTTGCTGACCTTCCATCAGAAAAGTGGACAAAAAGTCATCGACGTGGAACATTAATTCACTTATCTTTCTCCATGGACGCTGCCTGACCTGCTGAGTGTTCCCAGCGTCTCCTTTTTTAAAATTTTAGATTTCCAGCATCGGCAGTATTTTGCTTTCTGTCTTGTTTGTTTACTTGCGTGGTTCATATAATCCTAAGTGTCTTAGACCTTATTTTGCAAATGAGCTATTACAGGCCCAAACTTCCACCCAGTCTTAGTCCACAAAGTCTTTTCCATCTTAAAATTTAAGGTCGTTGACCTGTTATTGTAGTGGATGGAGCTGTTGCTTATGAACTCAAAACCTACTGGTTCAAATCCTGGCTTGTGTTAGTGTGAGCTGGGGAGGCTAAATTGGCCCCGAACTTCCCAAATGAACTGAGTTTCTCCTCTTACCATCTCCCAGTCGTACACATGTACGTCAGCGGGCTGGGGAGAGATCCTGCTTGGCTGTGAAATTCTCTGCAGTCGATGAGCCTGTCAAGGCTCACACATGAACAAATGGTTCAGTACCAGAAGGCAATCAGCATCTGTGGAACCATAACCTCAGCACGACTTGACTAAGCCAGGAGCAGAGAGATATGCCAACAGGGGAGAAAATTAGAAAATAATTGGATACACTAAATTTATATTAAAAAAAACTTCATGACTCACGGTTCATAAAAGTCTCAGTTTCAGGCTAGTGGCTGAAAACATGGGCGCCGTGGGTGGAACAGAAGTGACAAGGGATGTGCAGGAGGCAGGAGCCAGTTAAGCGAAGGGGGCAGATAGTGGAGAGGTGTATGAACAAGACAGACAAGTAGGGAGGTGCCTGGGCATGAAGTTATTTATACTGCGTGTGTGAGGATGTTGAAATTGATCCGTTCTGCAATAGGGAGCTAGAACTCTGGGGTGATGAGTGTGGAGGTTAGTACAGGTGAGGGAGGATGGGATGGCAAGAGTTTTGAATTA